AAAAAATGGTGTTGAATGAAATTCCAAAGTTATCTGAATGCACACATGGTCATGTTCATTAATCAGAATAAATAACAAAGAGAGCTAGAATTGAAAGCCACAGTGATTGATACATCCCAAAAGGTAAGTGATTGTCTCTCTGATATTATACAGAAAATAATGATTAATTTCATTCTTAAGTTAAAGGACTGCTATAAAATGATATTTTCATGTTTTGGAGGGGATTTTTATTTTATTATCCAGGTCCTCGCACATGCTAGGCCAGCCACTCTAGTACTGAGCTATAGCCCAAGTATAAGATGATCTTGAGGGTCTTTTCCATTTTCAAGTTATGTAAATCTCAGAACATTGCCCAGAAAACAATAATAACAAAAGAAGTTCATGAACTTGAGAATCAGAGAGAACTGTATTCAGGCACCTGTTCCAATGTGAACTGTGCATTGTGGCAGAACCCTCAGCTACCCTGAGTGTGTAAAACCTCACAGGGCTGCTGTGAGGTATGAAAATGCCCAGTTCAGTGCCTGGCACATTGTGTGTGCAAGGTAAAGACTGATTTTCTCCCTCCCTTCCTTTCTTCCTTCCTTCCTTCAGTCTTCCTCCCTTTGTTAGTATGGGGAGAGTCATTCTGGCTCCCTCCTGCAGCTGGTGTGAAACCTTCTCTGTAGACTGCTGCAGTTCCCAAAGTAGCTACTATCTCAGAGAGCTGCTTCCTGCCAGCTATGCTCACTCATATCCCAAAGTACAACACAAACTGGCTTTCAAGAAAGTACACATAGGTAGGAGATCCCTGACAGCAGGTGAGTAGTTCCTCTTTCAACTGGGCCCCAGGAACTGTGTTTAAAGTGCTGACATTAAACAATTGCATCCTCCTTGCACAAGTAAGCAGCCATCGCATCTTCTTGTTGTCTTTAAGGGACAGTGAGTGAGGTTGAGAATCACAATTGCACACTGCTATATGTTTACAATGTGAGAACTTCAACCAAGGCTCCCTGTTAAAGTGCAAGGACAGCATGCAGCTCTCTAAGTCAGTTCCTGCCACCATGACCCCAGTCATTGAGTTGATTGGGATTCTCAGCAGGAAGAGACAAGGACAGCCCCCTCTTCTATAGCTAATGCTAGAATGTTACTTTTTTCCTAGATACCAGTGTTCCCACAGGTCCCCTGTAGATCTCTGTTATGAGGAAATGAAAAAGAAAAAGGTCAGGATCCTCTGGCTTATGAAATTTGAATGCCATTTGTACTTGACATCATGTTTGTTTTTTAGCTTCAGTTGCACAATTTTTCAAGATTAATAAGTTCTGTAGATGCTATTCCAACATTGTGCAATGTCTCCATACTAAGGAATTTTGTTAGTGGGCAATAGAGCACAACTCAATTCTATCAGTTCTTGAAGTGGTACTATTTAGGGACCTCTCTATTTCCTGAAGGAAAACCTTGAAGTGCGCAATATAAATATTGCATTAACTCTAATGCAGAGTTCTACATTTATGCCTTTCATGTGTGGAAACAGGTGTGTAGAGGCCAAAGCCCTGGTTATATTGCTCTCTCTTCATCTAAAAATGGTCAGCAAGTTCCTGCGGGTTTGCAGACACTGAGGGGTTCTTAGAGGTCTTCTCACCTCCATTCCCCTGCTACCCATCAGCAAGGCAACTGCAAAGTAAACTGGGTAGGAGGAGGATCTCTGCTGGCTTTGTAGATGCATTTATTTCTTCGCAAGTGTCATTGAAAACTTACTTATATTAGGCATGGTACAGGGTACAGGGATACAGAGGATAAGACAGTTCCTGTCCTCCCATTGATAGAAAGGAGGACAGGAATCATTTATGATCAAAGAAGAGTCCATCCACAGCAAATTGTTTTTATATCCCAGTGAATTCAACAGCTCAAGTAGCACCTTACCTCCGGTCAAGTTTGAGACTTTAAAGTTCCCAGGATGCCACATAAGAATAAAGAAAGACAATAATCATTAACAAAAGAAGGAACGAAAGAGCCACAGAAGCTGACCGTGAAGAGCAGTGGCCTCTGCAGTGGAGCACTTCCAATGACCTTATCTTTGAAATTGGTCTCTGTTTCTTTAAGCATCTTCCCTTGGCTCTTTCAACATGGACAATTGGTCACCAATAGAAACTTAATTATCAATTAATCGATTGCTATTGAGTTGCCAGGATTTCATCCCAGTTATCTGCTACTCCTCAGAGTAATCTATAGTATTCTAGTGAAGAAAAGCTTCTAATTAAATAGTGAAATAGCACTCATTAATAGAGCAAAATAAATATCTAAAACTAAAACATTGTACTATTTCCGAGAGACAGTAGGTTTAACATCTCTAAGACTCTATTTGATAATTTATTACCATTTAAAATGAAGAAATAATTGTTGGTACATGAAATAGAGCTTTTTAGGTAGCTTTTAACCATAAAAATCCATAGATGTAGGAACTTTCCATTTCATGTGACAGATGGTTGACCTTAAGGAGTAAGGTCATCATATAGAAGAATAAATTTTTTTTTGTTCTTAAACTCATTGATTGAAATATGCTATGATATTTTCTGGTTGTTATCAAACAACATTCACTTTCCTGGATTGGTAGCTACATACAGTGATGTGTAAAAATGAACTTTCTATTTGTTCTAAGGTCCTCCTTTTCCTTAATACATATTCCTCTCATCATCATCTGCCCCAGGTTTACTAATTCCTAGCCATCTCATCAAGATAGTCAGGAGCCTTGTACTCTTTATTTGTCCTTCATAAACTTTTAACTACCCCTATCCCAGAAAAAAAAAAAATGACTTAAATAATACTGGTTCATGTCTTCACACCCATCCCCGTCTACCTATAATTGATTCACTTATTTGTTGATTCATTCAATTGATATTTACTAGCTGCCTATTATATGTGGTGTTTAGTTACTGCCAACAGTACAGTGGTGAAAATACAGTCTCTAACTGCAGAGAACTATCACAGGAGAAGGCTCACATTATCTTACAATTGCATAAGCAAATTGAAATTGCAGCTATAGCTATCTTATAGCTATGCTGTGCTGTCTATGATGCTTAGGCAAAAGGTATTGTGAAAGTCTAATAATAGGAACATTGGACCTTGATATTGGCATCAGGGCAGGCATCCTGAGGGAATGGTGATAAGCTAAGGTCTGAAGGAGGTATAGGAGTTCACAAGGTGAATGGAGGTGGAGGCAGAAATCCAGGCAGAGGAAACAGCCTAAGCGTTTAATGGGAGGACACCTGGAGAAAGGAAGGAAGGACCCCTCCCTGGTGCACAGAGAACACAGACCTAGAGAAGCTGGGTAGTGGCCAGATGATGACACCCACATCCAACATGTCAAAAATGTTTTCTTCTATTCTAAAAGCAATGGGTAAGCATTAAGTGTTTTAGATAAAGAGGCACATGGTTAGATTCACATTCTTATAAGAGTCCTGTTAGAGTGTTGAAAAGAGATCACCTGATGAGAGTGATGGTGGATTTGGTGGGTCTAGTTAGCAACCCACTAGTTGTGGTCCCAGAAAAGGGTGAGTGACCAGGATGAAGATGGTGGTTATGGAGAGAGAAAAACCCAGGGAGGTCCAGGAGATATTTAGAAGTGATGGGAATTGAAGATGGAATGTATATGGGGGGCTAAAAAAAAAAAGCAGTAGGAATCAGGGATGGCACTTGGGTTTCCAACTCGTGTGCCTTGAAGGATATATGTAATATATCACTGGGGTGTGTAATATATAATCAGGAGTGGAGTATTAGTTATTTTGAGACTGAAATCTCTTGAGACTTGAGAGTGGAGACACAAAAGCATGTGTCCATGAATAATAGACATGTGTCTGCATAATAGATATCACAGAAATTGCCAGGACTTACTATGAAAAGTGGAGAAATAGCCCTTTGGAGCCTTGAGAAACGCTGACATTGATAGCCAGGTGCAGATGGTCCAACAAAGGAGAATTACTACAATCTGAGTGCCTGGGGCTGGGACTTGGTGGTGATTCAGTGGTAACTCACGTGCTTAGTATGCACAAGGCCCTGGGTTCAATCTCCAGCACCATTAAATTAAAAAAAAAACAAACAAAACAGACTGAAGCAGAAGGAAGGATCTTCTCAGTATATAATTGTCACATACTACTAAACAACATTTTTAAAAAATCCTTCCCCTTGAGGTTGAACCTAAAAGATAGTTACCAGACCGTAGTTTTCTTGGTAAGCTAGTTACTGATACATTTAATGCACAGCTCTTTTGTTTTTTCAACTTTTGCCCAGTGATGACTCACCCAAGATCCTATATGCTGAGTTCTGTTGTAAGAGATTTATATAAATTAGTTCACTTAGTCTTTGCAACAGTTCTGTAAGCTAGGTACTATTTCTGTAATACTGTATGTTTTACACGTGGGGAAAGAAACAGATGATGTGAATTTCTGAACACAGAGAGATTGTAGGTATTACATAAAGCATATAAGCATTTGAGATCAGAATTTGTTGCAAGCACTTGGGTCTGTGTACTGCTACCTACCCATGAATTATCTACTAACCGCCACTGCCCACCACCTCTGCACAAAATGCAAGAGGCACACATTTTAAAATGTAATATCACAGTATGATTCTACGATCAATTGTTATTCCATTTGCAATTCATCTCATAGGACTTGCCTGCTAGAAGCATTACCTTTATGGCAAGGGCTGAGACATTTAAAGTTTTGTTTTTCTTTTAATAGCGTCTGCTAAGTTCCTTCTTTACATATGCACATATCCAACCACTGTGCAAACTGTGAAGGTAAGGTTTGCCTCCAGTTTTCAAGTCTGTATATACACAAACCAAGCCTAGTAAAATTGGAGCTATATTGGTCAGTAGAAATATTTATGCCAGTGTGGGGCCATTTTTCTACTTGAACTGTTATCTTTGCCATTCCGTTCCAAGCTATGAAAAGACACACAGAAGTTTCTTACCAGCTTGTTCTCATCTGCACTGTCATTAATTCAATAACCATATTTTATTCCAGATGCTTCTGAGAAATTCATCGGGCTGTGAAGTGCGCAGTGATGAATATCGAACTGAGTTTACCACACCTTTGCCGCGCATTGACTTATTCATGGGCCAATTCAACCAAGTGCTCTTAACATCTATATCTACCTTCATTAAAGGAAACCTCACCATTGCTAATCTTGGGACGTCAGAGGGTCGCTTCATGCAGGTAAGGGCTTTCAGAGGGTCTCTTTTATTTGATACTATGCAATTAGTTTGTTTTGGTTTTTTCAGTAAGGTATTTGCAAATACTGTGAAATGCAATTCACAGCAGAAGCTCAGGACACAGGCTAAAAGCCAAACAAAGAAGTCTGGTCCACTTTTTATGAAGTGTATGGCCTAGTTTTGTTAAGTTTTTGAAGCTTTCACTTTGAACGTGGTTGCTTTAATTTTCATGTCTGGAATGGTTTGGTGGTTTTTTTTTTTCCATTCATAACTTCTATCACATGATTGGAAAGTAAAAATGAAACAATTAAAGCACTTCCAGGAGATGTTTTCCTATTCCAAGGGAAGCAGCGGATCAAAGGAGAGCTATTGTGTGAACCGTGTGTCTCCATGAGAAGAAACATTCACATCATTGAGAAGTGTTGGCAGGAGTTGGGAAGACACACTATCATCAAAATCCCATTGTAATTGAGGCTCTCCTGATTCTGAAAAATGATGGGATCAGACACAAAGAAGTTAAAATACTTTTTTTTTTAAATGCATTTTATTAAATGCTTTTAATGACGAGCAACAGTATTTCCATACAATAAAAGTCTACATTTCAGGCTTGATTGAAGTCACTGTGTTTCCTAGCTACAAGAATCACAGCACTCTCCAGACATTAAAATGCTCTAGTGTTGGATTTATTTTACCACTTTAATAATTATGGCACTTTCAATATGAATTCATGAATGCAGAATGACAATGACATCTATGGAAATGTTGAAGCTCTACAAACACTAGAAATTTCTTGTGACGGAAGATGCTCACTTCACAATTGTCTGATATAGTTAACATCCAGATCAAACAAATGACTTCTAGTAAGTCAATTGAGGACAATGAGTTCTTCCTAAGACTTGATTATCTGTACATCCAGTGTCTGTGCTCCTTTGTAAAATTTACTTTTAAAAATTACTACAGTCTTTATAACAATCTAGATATTGGTCATTGCCACATTTTAAGGACTATAAATCATATTTTTCTAGTACTAATGGCATAATGGAATGTTTTCAAAGTCATACAGCATGTAAATAAAACTTTCCTAGCTCAAAACTAACTATATAGAACCTGTGCTCTAAATGTTTCCACACCATCTCCCCTCCTGAGCTTCACATTCCTCCCTCTCCTCCCTCTATCCCATTCCATTGTGTTTATTTAACCACCTCACCCATCTTGGCCATTTAATTCTATCCTTAACTTCTCAAAATCTGAAGGAGGGAAGCCCAGGCCTTCCACATGGACAGACATGGCCTCTAACACATTTAAATATGGTTGTATCTATTATCCTTGTAACATGGGTATTATTATTTTGTATTTATATGTGTTTTTAGTTTATATTGATGGTAGTTTTAAAAATTCCAAAGAATTTGAAGATGCAGGATAAAACCTAGCATCTGTTGAATTCCTTATGTGTTCATAATTTTCCTTTGTCTCCCTTTATCTTAATTTCTGTTTTTCTTTTCTTTTTTCTAAATTGTTCATTATCTCACCAATCCAGGTTCATATTAATAAGTTTTCTGTAACCATTTTAGGTCTTTTTTTAACATCAAAAGCATCATGATCTGTTTCCAGATGCTAAACTTCTAATAAAATCCCATTTTAAATAGGTTGCTTTAATGACAGGGTCCACACAATCCAAGGAATGTGTCTTGTGTCCGTCTCATTATAACAGAAATGCTATGACAAATGATTTCTTCTTATATAAAAGAAACTTCTTATGCCATTAACTGCATCCCATACAGAAGGTGGAAATAATAGATTTTTATTTTATGAAAAGTACTGAAGTCACTGATTTTTTTGTAAACAGGTGACTTTTAATCATCAACTGTGTGTGGAGACCTCACCTACTTTTCTTTACTAGGCAAATGAGGGATGAAAAGGAAACAGTGACACAGAACCTGCCCTTAAAAAACTCAAGTTTTAGTAAAAGAGATAAAAACATTTTCTGTCTATTCACAGACAAAGGGCTGTTGGTACCCACAGAAGATTTATTTTTCTGACACTTGAAATTTTATATAAATAAACTGAAAGCACTTGAAGAATCATTCAACATTACTGAAATGCAGTTTGTTTACAGCAAATAATAGTGGGGGGATGGGTTAAGGGTGGGAGTTGGGTTAAGGAGGAAGATCAGTGACCTTCCTTCCAGCCTGATCTTTCAGAGCAGTGACTGCCCACCAAGTTCTGTAAATGTTTTGACTGGGCTAAGGGCTAAACCTGTGGCCCGCCTAAGTTCTACAAGTCAACTTTTAATAAATACTATGGAGTTTCTGTTACAAAATAGAATGAACATTTTCTCTCCCTCTCTGAAGACAGCTGCCACACATGAAAAGGAACAGAAAAATGATTTTACTTCCTTCCTACCCTGAAACCTAATGGCAAAGTTGCTTTGCAATTTTTTTTTTCTCCCAAGAGTTTGCAGCTGTTTCTGCCCTTCCTATTGTGCTTGTGTTCAGCTCAGGCTGGGAACACAAGCTACAGCCCCAGCTGTTGGGTGCAAAGTGAATCAGGTATTTCACAGTGGTTATTTGATTAGAAAGAATTATATTGTTTAGCTAACAATAGTATATGCATGGCAAAGAAGATGTTTCTGACATGTTCCTGACATTTCATCATGTGTAACTTAAATAGGTACAGTTATGTCTAAATATACTGTTGTCTACATGTGGAGTCTCTATATCTGTTGAGCCATGTCAGTATAAATTTCAAAAACAGTTTTTATTTATATGATCACTCTCTTGGGATGCCTTGACGTAAAATAATATGATAAGCAATGTTTGATATGGTCTAAGTAAACAGTGAGAATAGGCCTTACAAATTGGGAGGAGGGAGTACAGAAAAGAATAAGACTGAGCAACCTTACCAAATATACATGGCTACGTGGGAGAGGGAAGCAGGATTCTTATGAAGATCACAGGACTAATCATAGGGATTGCCCACGTCTCCCCTTCTGAGCTCCTCGTCTAATCTACATCCAAAACAATGCTTGCTTGATTTTTTTTTTTAACAGCACTTGTATAAGGCCTTTAATCTCTAAATGCAAAGCATTGCTATTAAAATATTTGTGTGTGACTGTCAGACCAGGGAGAGTGAGTGGATCAGAGGGAATGGGAGTAGAAAGGCCCTTCCAAGGCTTGTTTCAAATTCAGCTCTACAAACATTCATGGGGCACTGCAGGCTGCTAACTGTGCCCGCTGCCTGGCACCGTTACGTCTGCCATTAGGCTCTTTGGTACCATCCTCCTTTTCCCCTCTCCCGAATTCTGTTACTGTTATTGCTGTTACTACTCATCATCCTCTTTTTTTTCTGCTCTTAACTGGGCTAGTTGGGTTTCAAGCAAGAAACTTCAAGAGGTAAGGATGGCTCAAAAAGACACCCTTTGGTCCTGATCATCTATTATTCCATTACTTAAATAATTATGCTAGTAATCAGTGAACTTGCAAATAATTACTCACTTCCAGGAAGCAGAATCAATTAATCTATTGGCCTCTTTACATTCCTTTAGTTTCTGGGCCACCATCATACTGTTTCAGTTCTTTGCATTGGAAGCCTGTGCCAGTTATTACATTTGAAATGACTGCTATTTCAGAATTTGTAGACACAGATCATCAATTCAGCAATGTTATGAACATCAGGCAGAGACACAGCTGAATGAAGCTTACACTCAAACACCATTTCTCTATAAGGATTGTTAATTTACCCATCTCTTTTACAAAATGCTCAGATAAAAATATCATCTGCCTTTTTTTAAATTTGTACATCATTGACTTAATTATATCCCTAAGGAACATTATTAGTATTGGGCTATTTCTCATTATGCTCATGAATTCTAAAATTTCTTTTGTGCAAAAAAAGAGCTCATACATAATAATTTCAGGATTATGTCCATAAATAAAAATTAAGTCCAGTTCATGTATAGTCTCCTCAAATGAATTAATGTATGCTCTTGAAGGACATGTATGTTATACTCTATCACACACATAGAAGTTTAAAACATCACAAATATTTGCAACCTTAGGAAAATGCAAGGCTTTTGTTTGTTTTGGTTTGAGGTGGCAAGGAGTAACTGGAATTTCTTGCATAGTTACCTTTCAGATAGAACAGAGACATTGTAAGACATGAAATATGTTTATCAGTTGTTTTTGAACTTTAGTCAGTTCAAAATTCAGAGGTAGATATACTCTGGATAATAGCTAATCCTACAATCAACACATATGGGAGGTTGACTTGAAATTATTCATTATTTTTGAATTTTTACAAACTCCCTAACTTATTTGGTTTTTTAACAAAGTCAATCCAATACTGACTCATTTTGACTCACTTCAAAAAATTGAAGCAGATACACATCAGTATTGTAATAGTGAGGAAAATTGCTTTGCCCATTGGATATGCTAGTCTATTTACCAAAAGGAGCAAAGAATGGGGTAAAAGTTCATTTAATTCAATTTTTACCACCTGGTGGTACTTTCTCTTACCATTTTTAGTTCTCTATTTTCAATACCAGTTTGCAATTTCTACTTCTTATTTTTCATTATTTTTCCTGTTTCACAAAACTAGATACGAGCCTTGATTGAAACAAATTGCTCTAAGCCTCATGTTCTGATTTCTTTCTAAATAAAAACCAATCCTTATCATATACCAAAGAAAATAGTAAACTTTAAACAGACAAGAAGCATGAGGCATTGCAAGCCATACCTAGAAAAAAACCTTCAACTCCTGAAGGTTTTCTAAACTCTGAAACATTTCTAAACCCATGCCTTCATTAAGGCCTCTATGGGCTTCTGATTTCAATCTGTTGTGTCTGAAGGCAATAGATACACCTTAAGGACCTACTCTGTGCCAGACGCTTGTCTATACTGGCAGCTAGAGGGAAGCAGACACTTCCTGAATCTACTGGGTCATGTGACCCCATGGTGTCTGCATCTTCACTCACATTTTATTCTCTTTGAAACTCAAATTCTGATCATTTGCATCACCTTTCATGAAGAATGAAGTTTTGCTTATTCCTTAACACATATCCTCTCTTCTTTTTAACTTTTCATTCAGAAATCAATCTAGATGGTATAAAAGCTCCTTTTCAGTTTTATTTACCTTGAAATGGAACTGTCTGTTTTTATTTCTTATATAAGAAAGATTTACTTAATTCATCAGAAGATTTCTTGAAGTTTCTTGGTCACATTTTAAATCTACATTTCCATATGACTGAACCACGTACCATGAGGTCTACCATGTTTTCTTGATCCCACGATGACTATGTGAAGAAGAACTGCATTATGTTTTTTCTAAAAGTCTGCCATCCAGTTCAGATGTATCAAGGACCACTGAGTATGTCAGACCAACATAACTATAAAGTTATAACATAACTATAAAGTTAAAACATAGCTATAAAGTTATATTATCCCAGACCCGTGTCTCCTTCAAGAAGTATGATGCAGATGAAAATTCCAATAGTTACTTAAGTCTCTCCAAGAATACTAAAAGATACAAAACATGCTTAGTCCACAGCAACTCTATAAACCCTCTGTCTGATTGTTCTCTGGAAGTTTTCAGGGGCTCCTCCCTCTCCTTCAGGAGGTCCACCCTCATCCACTCTGTCCCATCCCATCTACCTTGCCACCTGTCCTCCCTCTGCTCTCCATAACAGGGAAAGCCAAAGTACTCGTTCTAGAAAGGAGATTGTGAACCTCCAGAGGTAAACCTTTCTCTTGCTTAACTTAAGGAAACACTTGGCAGAGGTACACAAACCAAAACCACAATAAAGTACCACTTCACACTCTCTAGGACAGCTCTAATCAAGAAAATGGAAAATAACAAGTGTTGTTGAGGGTGTGAAGAAATGAGAAATTGCTTGTGGGGATGTAGTCGGTGCAGCCACTATGGGAAATAGTTTGCAGTACCTTAAAGGGTCAAGCAAAGCCTTTACCTTAAGGCTCAATAACTCTACTCCTAGATGCATATACCCAAGAGAGATGAAAATACATGTTCACACAAAAAGTTATACATGAATGTTCATAGCAGCACTAGTCACAACAGCCAGAAAGTGGAAACAACCCAAATGTCTATTACATAATGAATAAATTAATATAATGTGGTCCATCCATAGGATGAAATGTTATTTGACAATAAAAAGCAGAATGAATGAACCTTGAAAACATTATGCTAAGTGGAAGATAACAAACAAAAAGGACCACATATTGTAGGATTTCACTTATGTGAAATATCTAGAATAAGAAAATTACATATGATAATAGAAAGTAGATAAGTGATGTCAGGGTCCAGAGGGTCTGGGGATTGGGAAATGATAGCTAAGGGGTCTAGGATTTCTTTTGGGGGTACTAAAAGTGATCTAGAGTTGGTTGAAGTGATGTTTGAACAAATCTGTGAATATACTAAAAACCATTGAACTGTCTAAAAGAAAGAAAGACAGACTTTTGAGGGAGTAGACAACCACATACAAATATGGTAAATTGTGTTCTTCATTCTTAAAGAAAATTAAACAGAATTTAAGTTGTTTAATTAAAAATAGAACTCTCTGTATATGGTAAGAAGATCTGTCTGGACTTCATGTATTTGTAGAATATCACACAAAATCATTTGGTACAGGTTTACAAAGGTGGAGGCCTAGGCCCAGCAGTTTCATTTATCTGTATTTTTATTTCTTCCCCATATCCTCTCACAAATAACTTATTGGGAGAGGTTATGTGGGATCAAAACCACAACAATGGAGTAAATTCAGATTCTTTCCTCGCCCTGCCCTCCCCCCAAATATACTAGTCCTGTATGTTCAAGAACATTAAGGAAAAAGGTTTTGTTATCTAAATACTAAAGATTAGTCATGGACACAGTAGAATAATTGCCAGTCTTCTATTTCATAGTAATTGTTCTGAGATTGCCAAGTGATTTATCATAAGAATTAAATTGATATGCCAAATTCTGTTCTGTCCCTAGAAATATCTCCATGACAACAAAAAGTAACTCCTGAATCTTGCAAGCATTGCTTCAGGGATCTTTTGAGAGTTGAAGTGGTTACTCAATTATTTAGAATTCTGGCAATAACAGAAAGTGGGGAATTAATGATAGAAAAAGCATTCTTGGCATTTCATGGCAGTAGATGTGCCCATGGAGAGAGAGCTAATGATCAACTAGAAGCTATTCGCATATGTGGAACTACCTCTGTGCTACATTCCAGAGGGTCATCCCACTTTTCCACGTGACTTCCTGCCTTCTCTTGTTTGTCCCATTTGTCTATACCAAGTCATGATTAAAAGCAGAGCTTTGATAGCTGAGCTAGTAATATTTCCTCTGTACTATCAAAAACTATGCAGATGCAGAGGCTTTATCTTTCAGCGCATGAAACTTCTGCAGCCTAGATTACTAAAACAAGGAATAACTGGCAAGGCAAATATATTGTGAAAGCTGTTTTAGTGCTTCAACTCACCAGGGCTCTTGGGAGCTCAGAGTTGAAGCTTTTTATTGGTATTTACTCTGGTGCGCCAAGAGCCTCGCAGTTTAGTTAAGAACAGGTCAAGCACACAGATTCAGGCATTAGATAAAGCTCCTTGGAAATTTGATTCTTGTCCTTTCTAGCTGAAATTCTTTTGTATTTTCCATAAGGCAAATAATAATACCTACTTTGCAGAATAATTGTGAGGAGCCACTGAGATCTCTATTTAAAGCACTTAGCATAGGGCCTGGCTGGATTACCTGTTATGACAGTGACATATATATGGTGCTCTCCAGACAAAAATTCTTGACAGGAGGAAAACAAATCAATCAAAGTCCAGAGGTGCAAAGAGCTTTTTTATGAACAGAAAGAGAGAAGGTTAATCCTTTCTGGGAAATGAATATATGGATGGCCTTCAGATTTGATAAAATCAAAGATGATGACCTAGTCATTAAGAAGGGATTTCTTAATATAGATACAGAAAATGATTTTAAAGAGAATAAGAAGGTTAAATATGGAGTTAACACAAGGCCTTACAATCCCACTCCTAACACATCATGGGACTGTGACAACACATCATTTCCAAGGGCTCTGGTAGGGGATGGGTATGTAGCAGGTCTGAATAGCATGGAAGGAACCAGGAGCAGACACAGAATGCAGATCTCCATGGTAAGTTTTCGGCTTATGAACACTCTTTAGTGTAGTGGAAAGCACGGAATAACAATGGGGAATAGAGTCTGAGAATTAAGACAGATTGATGTTTTGTGTTGCTTTTCTCTTATGCATGAGAAAAGGAGATATTTTTCCCCCTTTATGGTTTGAAGTGATTGGCAACAACCAAGGAAATATGGGGCAGGAGATGAAAGAGAGTAGGAAAAAAAATGAGAAATGGTGAGCACCAAAAGGGAGTTGAGATTGCAAAATGGATAACTGAAATATAGATAGTTGAGGATAGAGGCCTGGGGAGTCTGCTTGTAGCCATCCCTGGAGGGAGGGAAAACTGGTAATTGAACTTTGTTTCACTCTGCCTGAAAAGGTCACAAATACCTATTGGGCCCTAACAGTAGGAAATAACAGTAGTTTCCATCCTTTTCCAACCTGACCAAGTGACCTTTGAGCCATCATTTAACTTCTGTGCAAACATAGCCACCCTGCTTTAATGGAGATGTTTTGAAAGTGTTGAGTGTTTGAGGTAAAACAATGTTAGAGCAAAAATGTCACGTTCAACTCTGGAGCTCTGTGTGAGCTTGGGGAGTTTCTCTCAACAGTCCACTCTGTGGGAACAAAATTAGGTACTTAGTAAATCTTCCTAATTGTTTCAGGCTACTTGGCTCCTTTATTGTGCTAAATTAAAAAAAAAAAAAAATTTACTACTGTTCCCCAGAACATTTATGTGTCGCACGTGTTTGTTAGAATACAAAACAATTAATTACTCCTCTAATTTTCATTCCTATTTTCTGAATGAGAAAGCTGTGGTAGAAAGAGAGTTTCTTTAATCTAATCTCACAGATGCCCATGTTTGTCCTATGATTTCATACACATGGCAAGCAAATGCACTTTTGATGCAATGTAAAAGATTATTAGAGATGTCAGGCAATTTCACAGAGCAGATTTTAAGCCCAGAGCTGTGCTCGGCCTCCTACACTCTCATGTATATGCAAACGGATGGCCTACTTAAGAGTGACGGTCTCTCTCAGAACTCCTAAACCCTCCTAAAAATCTCTGTTCATTCAAGATGATCATTCTGATGTTATTGTAGTTGTTGATCACAGTCTGGACTTCATTATTGCTGGGTCTTAGCTTCAGAGCAGGTGGAAATTATGTAGCTGAAAGACATGAATACCTGAAAGCAAGAATGACACCAATCAACAAACCTCATCTCCCAGGCATTGTTAAAACAATCAGGCCTTATTATAAAGCTGGGACAAGAAGTAAGAACTTTATTTATAATGCACGTAATAACATATCGGGACTATGGTATATAAAAAATACATTCAAAGTAGCATGGGGACCTATTTTAACCTCAAAAGATCTATAAATATGACTTAAAAGTAGCAAAGCTGGAACTAGCTCCAGGTTTCCAGACTCCTGTCCACTACTCTTACCATTACGTCAAGGGAAACTGCCCCATGGGAAGGATCAAGAGTATAGATTAAAAAATATCCAGGATCCTTATAGTATGTGTGGTGTCTTCTTTCTGGGAAGAGTTTTGGCTTCTCCAGTTCCCAGTACAATTGTAAGGACTTGCCTGCAGGTGCTGGCTGATTGATTGGAAGATCTTCTTCCCTGGAAACCATTAAAAGATCATAGGCAGACGTCTGTCCTGGGGGTTCAGATAAATTGGCATCAAGGCAGGAGATTAGAACATGTCATATTGATTTACAGCAAGATGAACTGTTGGGTCTTTAGTTCAGATACCCTTGTGCTCTCCTAATCTGTTATTACAATCATCATCTACGTTTTCCACTTACATTTTAAATAGCTTGCTGGAATAGGGTGTTTCCTTTTTCATTCCTCAGGTTGTTGTTTCTCGAACAGTATCATCCACCCCTCATGTGAATTTTCGCCTGGATTCCCACCCTGTGTCCCCAGAAGTGATTGTGGAGCACCCATTAAACCAAAATGGCTACACCCTGGTTATCACTGGGAAAAAGGTAAGCCCTATTCCCACGGGGAGTTTCCATGGATATGGTTCTTCCTGAATGGATACTTCTAGCCAACAGCATTCAATTTTTATAATTTCTCTCTTCATCTCAGATTCTTATCTCCTCCATTAAGTTATATTTTTGGGGGTATTCCAGAGAACTTCTGAAATAAAGTTAATTTCTTATCCAAAGAAGATTAGGCCTAAGGGAGGTCTTCTTCATAATAAGTACTTCTCCTTTAGTTTCTCAATGAGAAAAATGAATACAGAATAAGAAACACAGTCCTAAAGGTAGAGCTCCAGTGCAGGCAGATAAATCCTGGAAATGTACATTGGAATCTGACTCCAGCCAGTAATCTCTGTTCTCTGAGAGAAGGATGTGCATCCTGATACCAGAATGATATGTAACCTTACTTAGAAGTTCCAAGGGTTCAAGTGTGTCTTCCTGAAGCTTAAATTATAATACTCCCTTGTATATTTTAAAATCATCTCAGACAGGGCCAAATGTCCTTACTATATCAAACCTCTAACATTGCGTCACAATGCTTGTGTTCCTCAATATTACATTTTATTACAGAGATGCCAACAGTAGAGGGAAGGAATTTGATTTTTAAAAAATTCTAATCACTTAACCATTATTAGTTGATTTGCACATCAGTGCTTGCTTATTCTAGCAGACTCCATAAAATAATGTTCATATGTAGCTTCTGTGTATTCTAATTGTTCTTAAACAACAAAAACACCTCTGGAAGCCCTTTTTATTTCTTTTCTTTACAGATCACCAAGATCCCGTTGAATGGCTTGGGCTGTGGACACTTCCAGTCCTGCAGTCAGTGTCTCTCTGCCCCTCCTTTTGTGCAGTGTGGTTGGTGCCATGATCAATGTGTGCGATCAGACGAATGTCCCAGTGGGACTCAGGAGATCTGTCTGCCTACAGTCTATAAGGTAGGAATATCTATCAGCTGTCATGCAGGGGTTTTTTTGTTTGTTTGTTTTTGTTTTTTGTTTTGGTAATTCCAAATCCCACTAATGAAAAAAATTCCAAAACTTAATTTCCTAATTTAGCTGTGACACATCAGCCAAAGCACCATCTCCCTCCTGGCTTTGTCCCCATAGGCAGCATTGGAGCACCCCCTGTGTCCTGCAGTTGAAGTGCTTGCTTGCCATGCACTAGGTTTTCTCTTTGGACAGCTGCTGTCCCTTATGCTATGTGCACAGCAGAGCAGTGGCTAATGAGCAACGTTGTTCCCCATTTCTTCATGCTGGGACCTGTTTCCTCCTGAGTGGCCCATTCTGATTCCTCATTACCTACTTTATGCCAGGTGCCCAGACATGACCCTCCACCAAAAAGACAGATCTGTTCATACCCCAGAACTCCAAGCTGAAGGAACCATACAACCTGACAATCCCAGACATATTGGGGCAGACAGAACACACTTCTTCCTGTCCGAGGCATAAATGATAGAGGGTGGCCTTGTGTCAATCACAGATGAGGCTAGAGGTGGTTTCTTAGGTTGATATGGGAAGAAAGGAGGGGGTCAACACTTATGGTGACTGGGTGTCTTGTCTCAATATGCCTGAATGAGAAGTAAAGTTTCCACTGATGACTATATTGTTATCTATACTTCTATAAGCCACTTCATCTTTAATCACTCCAGAAACTTGTACTGAATACACACTACATGGACAGCTCTCTTCTAGACTCTGGGGACATACAGTCCAAAATAAATACAAAGGATACTCCTGCTGCTAGAGAACTTAGCTTCTGGAAGTGGACGTCAGTCATGACATGGCAGACACACTCTCTGGTTACCTTATTTGCTTAAGCATATATTTGGCACTATGAAAATTTCTAAAAGTTTCTTCGTCCAAATACATTTTGCTTGGAAATACTTAACCAGTGAGGACTCAGTATGTGTTTTCTCTGCCTGCATGTTGAACAGTTGGACTTTAGTAAATGGTTCTTGTGAAATATTCAAGTTAAAGGTCTCCGGTCACCTGGTTCAGGCTCAAGTAAACAAAGTGTGCGAGTCAGAACAAGAATGGCCCCCAAGCACATGGCTGTTTTCATTTAGTTACGGTTTGGGGCAAGATTTGCAGTGGTGACTGGGTTTTAAACCAAATCATTTTCTGTTAGATGTGACACAACTATCAGGCCTTAGCTTGATCATCTGGAGAATAAACTAAAAGAGAATAAGAAAAGAATTTTAGTCTATAGTATTTATGTACATTTTTGTTGTTGTTGTCCAGTATACTTATAAAACCCACATGCAATTTTATACTTTTATAAACACACAGCCTTGGCAATTTGAGACACTAGAAATTTGAGCTCTTCTTATTCCATGAAAAAGATATAGTGTATGTGTTTGTGCATGTTTGTGTGTTGTGCGTGCACACACACTCATATGCACAATTAAATTGCAACAATTTCATTTCAAAAATAGCCAAGTTGGGGTTTTAAGTAAAGAAATCAAGTTGATAACTAGCCCAAATAAAACATTTAATTTTGACCACCTTTTACTAATCATGAAAGCCATAGGAAATGGTTGAAAACAAAGTAAACATTTTTTTTAGAATTTTCTGGAAACAGAGATTGTCTCAAATGTTAGAATCTCCCTCCTCTCTTACCTTCCCTCACTGCAGCACTCAGCAGTTGTTGATTTTGAAAGGTTGCATTGTATCATGCAAAAGTCGATGAGGCGTGGGCTGTGCAGTTAGAAGCAAAGCTGTGCAGCTGAGTCCATAAATCCCTTTCAGTTCATAGTTGTTAGGAAGATTTCATGCTGTGCTAGACCGTGACATTTAGCATTCTCACTGCAAAAAAATAAGACAGATTATTCGTCTTTTTCTTATCTGTCTTAAACTCTACCCGCTCAAGATCCAGATACTGTATAGAGTTTCACTTTCCAATACATGAATGTTAACCTGTTTTTCAAGGTACATGATGTTCAATGGCTGAAAATCTTTGCAGTTCCAGATATGAGAGGTTTCAGGATTGTAAGCCCTTTATTTGTTTCAAACATGTCATCTGACCTGTACTTAAAGAGCAATGAGAAATGCTTCAGAAAAGGAAGAGCACTTTCCCAGTGTTTTCTGAATTTGTCAGTGTAAAACTGTCACATCTTATAGAACTGAAGTCAATCCCAGTGAGGCAATAAAACTGTTTATTAATTGATCAGAAGATTCAGATAAGAAGCAACAGCAATATCTTCTGGGGGTAGAGGATGTGCAGGCACTAAACTGCTACCATCATATTTGTGACTATTTTTCTGCTAAAGCAGAAAGGAGGTTTCCTTTGTGAATTTTAATATTCAAGGCTTTTATAAGCTTTCTTAGATTTTATCTTAATGCATTTAAAAAGCATGATCATTTAAAATACTTTTGGAATGGATCCGCCAGTGGCACAGTCTCTCACCTATAAGAGGAAGAGAGCTACTTTTGTGGCTCCGTCTCCCTTGTTCAGACAGATAGGCCACCCAGCCTCTGCGGCTTTATGCCGGACACTCATTTCCTGCACAGGGAGTTTCTCTGCACTTCAGGATAGCTGAGTTTGCCAGCCCATTGTTGGGTCTATCCAAGGGTGTGTGGTCCACGGCTGCTTCCTTCCTCTTCCTCTGGAAGAATGAAGGTTACCCCCAAAAGCTAAGGGAAAAATGCTCAGCCCAGAATAAAGACAAACCTAGCTGGCTTTTCAAATTCTGAGGATCTAGGAGCGGGTTGATAATATCCATTTCTACTGCCAGGACACCAAACCAGTGTCTTCTCAAATCATCACCCAGTGCCTTTACCTTTCATACAAGAGATGATGTGTAGCATATGCCTGTAATCCCAGCAACTTTGGAGGCTGAGACTGCAGGAGTACAAGCTCAAGTTCATTTGCCAGCCTTGGCAACTTAGAAGACCCTTTTTCAAAATCATATATAAAAAGGTCTGGGGATATAAGATGCATCTCAGTGGTAGAATGCCCCTGTACAAAAGAGAGGAGGCAAGGGGCGGAGAGAGTGTGTGTATTAAGTGACAGTCTTCAGTTTTTACTTAGAGATGGGGGGTGTAGGCAGTGGGATGGGGCCGACATCAGCCTTGGGCAGCTGCTTTGGATGGGGAAGTCTCCTCCTCAGAAATGGGAATAGCAGCTGTGTGATGGCTGTAGGCTGAAGAGAGTCCTAGGATGTCCTATTCTCTCCTACTGGATTTCTAACATAATAATAAACAGATTTTTTTTCCTAACAATGCTGATTTGCTGGACGTGGATGAGGTAAATTTTTATGAAAGGAACAACTGTGTAATGGATTTGTATGGGTAGAATGGTCATCATAAAAGCATTAAGCTGAGACTTTAAAAGGGTTTGGTAACAAGGGTTAAGTTAAGACTTTGGCTTGCAATTATTTACTTAGGAAGGATGGGAATGTTTGCAAATTTGAATTTTGCTAAAAAGTCCTCTCAGTTGTCAGACTTACACAAAGTGGGCTTTAGCAAACACCTTTGCTGGGTTTTGAGTTGCCTCTATCTTGGTGCTACGGTTTCCCACCATTGTACTTCACAGCACAATTTACAATATGTCCCCCCAAAAGAGCATTTCCTTTCTCAATTGTCACAAAGCTGCCCAAGAAAAGCTTATTTTTAACTTGCAAATGTGTTTTGTTTAACTAGTTTTAACCTAAGAACAGTTGTCTTACAAACTTCAAAAGCACTGAATGCTGTCTTATATCATAGTTGCCAACATTTTAGTTACAAATTAAAATTTCACTTTTAACACACCAAAAATGAGCCTGTATTGATACAGTGAGCCTGTTATTTACTGACCATTGAACATGTCATGAGGCAAAAAAAAAAAAAAAATCTTCAAAATAAGATGTAAAATAATATCAATGGAGAGAATTAGAAAAAATTTTACCATGTGGATTTGAGGTGCTCTCCAGTTCTGAGCATTTTTTTCTACTTCCAATAGAAATAATATATTGTATGTACTGAATATCACATAATTTTTAATAGTACATTATGTATTTGCTGTACATCAAATAGTGACCATCTTTGGAAAATAATGAAAAATCTTGAGTCTATGATATAAAGTGTGAATTATTAGGCTTTAAGAAGTAGATTCACTTATTTATTTGTTGGTGCCTGGAACATAGGAGAAATAATTAATGAATGGGTGGCAGATATGAATACCATCAATATGTTGGATATTAGGGTAACTGCCTATTTATCAGCACTATTTTGGGGGTGTGTCTCATTGAGCCATCCCCAAAGTCCTCCCTAGCCAAGGAGAAATTCATACTGTAAAAAAATGCTGGGTACCAAGAGAAGTGTTTTTACAGTATGAATTTCTCCTTGTCTGGGGAGCCTCATGGTACACAGAGAAAGGCATACATTGGATCTTGGCTTACAGGGCCTGTCAAAGAGGTTGGATCATTTTGATCTGGAGACCATGAAGAAATTATAATCAGTTACAAGCAGTGACTACTGCTACCCAAAAAAGCCCAAGAAATTAATTAATTTCAGAGTGGCCCAAAAGACCTCCCCATTCCCACCCGGACTCTCTGCTCTTTGTCCCATTTCTGATTCTCCTGAAAATAGCTTATTTCATAGCATGATCAGGTAGTTTTAATGTTTGTTCCAGATGCTCTGGAATTTGAAACCCTTTCCTTCAGTAAAAAATTCAACCTTTACTGAATTGTGGGAGAATGGAAAAATTTCATGCTCTTGAAGGATACATTGTTTTCCACACATGAAAAATAATAATACATTGGATTTTTTTTTCCTAAAGTTCTACATTGTCCTTATAGGTTTTTCCAACTAGTGCACCCCTTGAAGGAGGGACAATGCTGACCATATGTGGCTGGGACTTTGGATTCAAGAAGAACAATAAATTTGATTTAAAAAAAACCAAAGTTCTCCTTGGAAATGAGAGCTGCACCTTGACCTTAAGTGAGAGCACAAAAAATACGTAAGGATCTTAAAATGTTTTGCTGGGTTGGGTTTTGTTTTTGAAAGTGTTTGTAAAAAGAAAAAAAAATTGTACAGAAAGCTCATTTCTTAAATTAATGAGGGCCTTGGTTGCACGTCCTTTGTAGGTTTGTTTTGTTCTTTCCCTATTTACTTATGGGGATTAGGGAAAGACAAAATGATATGGTCTACATGAAGTTTTTCAACCATTTATGTAACACCTCTTCAGAAATTGTCTGGGTAGATTTGAAAGCATGACACTCCATCCTTAGAGTCTTCAGATACAGTCTCCAAGACATTTTTTTATTTAAAAAAAAAAAAAAAAGGTAAAGTGCTCAAAGTATATATCCTATCTTTTTAATTCATCTGCTAAACCTTGGTAGTGTATTAAAGTCACTGAATCACATATTTAAGTCTCTTTTTGGATGAACTAAAATTTATTAAGCCACTATTTATCAGCACCATTTTTGGGGTGTGTCTCATTGAGCCATCCCCAAAGTCCTGGGAATGGTGACTTATTTTACAAAAGAAGTCCTCAGAATTCAGAGAGGTAGAGTGAAACTTAGCAGAGATATTCCAGAGAGTCAGAAATGGGCTTTCAAACACAGCTGTTCAGATCCAAGATCTGTGCTTATTCTACTAAATGCTACATGTACTTTTGTTTAAAAGATTTTTTTATTGGTGCATTATAATTATACATAATAATGGGCCTTGTTGTTATATATTCACACATGCACATAACGTAATTTCATCAGTTTCATTCTATAAATGCTGCATTCCATAATGAACAGACAATCTGGAAATTATCAGTTATGTAGCAACAACAACCAAAGTTTTATTTGTTGAATCTTTATGTCCGAACCTATTCTATCAAGTGATTATTTTGTCTAAAAACAGAATTTACTCCAAGGTTATAAAAGATCTAAACTCCTTCATTTTATTGAAACTGAAACATCAATTAATGTCATATGTGCTAGCTCAATGACAAAACAAATTTATTCTAGAAAGTTTTCCAAAACTCTTTTAATTACTGCATCATAAATTAGGATTTGTAAAACTGAAACATAATCATTATCTTCTTTTATAGTTACTTAAGAAAACAAATAATATACAAATTTTTTTCAGAACTATAAGATTATTTATTCAGAAATAATTTTATGGAAAGCTATCACAATTTCACTATTCTTTAAGTAATTTAAATAAACATGTCACAAGTATAGTTACAGAAATGTACCTGATGAAAAACTTTGATGGAGGATTTGGCTTATTTGTAGCTTGCACATTGTTTCATATGATACTGAATACCATTGCTTTATCCTAAGTGTGTCAGACATTATCCCTACAATTTTATAGGTTTAGATTATGATTTACTTTTAAGTTGGGGAGGTCTGCATTGATCAGGTCTAACATTTCCTGTTTTAAATGTGTAAATACTATACTATAGTCAATATAAAGTTTAGCATAATAGTACAGAAATCAGATTATACAGTTTTCAGTCCTAATGCTTAATGAAACTGCTTGCTATGCAGAGTGAGTTAGCTCATTATGGAGTTCATGTCCCATCATAAAAGACAACCTAACCAGAAAATGTCTGTGGATTTCTAACATATTAAACTTTGCTTTTTTTCAGGCTAAAATGCACAGTTGGTCCTGCTATGAATGAAAATTTCAATCTGTCCATAACTATTTCAAACAGTCGGGGCACAGCACAATATAGTACATTTTCTTATGTAGTAAGTCTAAGCATTCTTTTCTCATGAACTAGGGATGAATGATTTTTACTTAGTTTATTTATAATTATAAAACTAAAAAGTTACTTTGTTTTGTTTTTGTCTTCTATTCAGGATCCTATAATAACCAGTATTTCTCCAAGCTATGGTCCCAAGGCTGGAGGCACTTTACTTACTTTAACTGGAAAGTATCTAAACAGTGGGAATTCTAGACACATTTCAATTGGTGGAAAAACATGTACTTTAAAAAGGTGTTGTGAATTTCTTTTTTGTTGCGTCTGCCAAGTTAGATTACTATCTTAACAAATCAAGCCAAGTTTGTGCCTTTTTGTGTGGAGAAAAATCAAGATGTTTATTATTTACTCTCTTGATAACAAGACTCTCTCCTTCCCAAATCCATCTACTCTTTTGCTGAATTTTCTACCTTTCCCTTTTTATTTATTAATCCCACTTTTGAATTTTGTCTTCCCATTCATCCTCTTTTTTGTTGTATCTCAATATTGAAGCTTTATTATGAGCTTGAGGTTCTGGTAATTGACAACAGATTAAACTGTTCAAGTGAGATTTAAAATTAGAATAAGTCAGTTTGGAGAGAAATGGGGGAAATTGGATTTGGAAGGAGGTTACATTTCTGCTTTTTGTAGCTGAAAGAGATGAGTTCCTTCAAGTGACGAAAATACTTTAAAGGTTGCTGAAAATGCCAAATGTTTTGAAGTCAAGGATGGCCTTTCAACAACAAGGTTAAGTTTGGGCTCTAGTCAAATGTAAACAGCCTACACTAGAAAAGGCTTTTTTCTAGATCACTGCAGGAAATTCCCATTTAGGAGCCATTGAGTTATACCCTTTGATTTATGGATCCTTTATAATTCTAAATTATGTGTATCTCTAATAGCTAAGGTTCATTGTCTTATTTTATTTTATTATTTTTTGTTGTCATTCAGTGTGTCAAATAGTATTCTCGAATGTTATACCCCAGCCCAAACCATTTCAGCTGAGTTTCCTGTGAAATTGAAAATTGACTTAGCCAACCGAGAGACCAGCAGCTTCAGTTACCGGGAAGACCCCGTTGTCTCTGAAATTCAACCAACCAAATCCTTTATTAGGTAAGTAAAAACTTCTGACGGTGTAAGAAACTAATGAACATAGGGATTATTTGGCTGTATAGAAGAGTCAAGAAAAGTTGCAGTTTTATCGCTGGCATTTTTCTTTCAAGGCTGACTTTCCGATTCGGTAGAAAAAAACTACATTTAAGTTTTGAGTATTTTTGACTATATCAATGCTAGTTTATGCCTGGAAGATTTCATCCTATTTTATTACATTTTAAACAAATTACCATAAAATAGTTTAATGTGACATCATAGTATGTAAGCACATATATTACACATGCATCAATTCTATACTAATCACAGTGCAAGAAAAAAAATCCTTTTTTCCACTCTTCATTGTATTTTTTGTCAGTCCTGCTTTGCACAGCTTTTCCCCATACCAGGCTCCCTTTGAAACAGTATCTCGTTGGACTCTGTTCAATTTGCCCTATTTCCGCTATTTCTATCAGTCTAGCAATGATAGTTACATATGTTTTTCTTTGTATTTTTTCAAAGAAAAAAATTTCTATTGTGTATTTTGTAAATAAAAATCCAATTTTCAGCATTTTTTGGCTTATGAAATATGAACTTGAACTCATATTTTCAAGTTAAATAAGTTATTTCCAAAAAAGAGTTACAACCCCCCAAACTTCCATTTGATTTTGGCGGTTCCTCTGACATGTAATCACAGCGTTTGATAAAAATTGAACCTCTCTCTTAAAATGCTTGGTGGAAAGAACCTCTCAATATTACAATTTTTCTATTTTATTTTGCCAGTGGTGGGAGCACAATAATAGGAGTTGGAAAAAATCTGAATTCAGTTAGCGTCCCAAGACTGGTAATAAATGTGCATGAAGCAGGAAGGAACTATACAGTGGTAAGTCCTTGGAATGATGGTTCCACTCAGAATTCTGCATCTCGACTCTACCACCTGGCTTTCAGGACAGGTGGGACGTTTCAGTTTTGCCTTTAGTGTTTGCTAGTTACCTTCTTACAGCATAGATGAAATTGTATTTTTTTATTCAACAACTAAAATTATTTGGTTAATAAAATATTGTTATCTTAGTCGTAGAGAACTGATGTCTTCTAAATTAATTGGGCTGACATTGTAAACATGTGTACACACACACACACACACACACTGTTTAGAAGCAAATGAAGATTACCAACTGGAGACAGTGTTGCAGTGTTTTTAAAGACAGTGAATATAGAAATCTCAGCATTCCTCCAGCCCCCTAGGGCATCATAGACTATTGACCCTTTTGTCCTGATAAAACCCTTGGATAAAGCCTTTGACCTTGCTACAGCATCTTTGTGAAGCAGCAGACTACAATATTTTCTTAACCTTCCATTCTTCTCATCATTCTTCCTGCCCCTTTGTTAATACATTATCAAGTAATGAGAGAGCATTAAACTAGTTATCTCCTAGAGTGTGGATATTATTTATCTTTTTTCCATCTTTTCTTATTTATTTGCAAGATCAATCAGAATTTAACTGAATACCTCCTTAAAAGTGACTGGCCCATTAATTTCAGTGGGTCACCTTAAAATGGTCATTTTTATTTAGAATTTAGGAAGGTTGGAGTTATTTCCAGTGGCCCCATACTTTGTGTTGATGTGTTTTTCTAATCTAGTTGGACTTGTGCACTCAACTTAGAATGAAAGTTCTAAGTGCTCCCGTTCAACAGGGTCTGGACAGGGCAAGTGATAGATTGAATTACAGCACTTTCTTTGAGATTTCTCATCCAATATTTCTTGAAGCCTAAACCCACCATGTTCTTTAATTACAAAAACCAATTTGGGGCTAAAAATGTCAAGCTAAATCACCAAACAATAGGGTCATCTCAAATGAGATTTTTCTTGACCTTCTCAATCAGCCACATTGCATCACCTCTAAAGGGTATTATTAGATTTTTATCATATTCCTGAGAGATTGTACTCCAGAGAGTCATCGCATGAAGTAAAAGGCTTTGAAGACAATCCCCACACATGGCCACAAACAATGTTAGAATACCACTGCTATTAATTTGGAAGGCATCAGTTCTCCACGACTAAGATAACAATATTTCATTAACCAAATAAGAACAGCAGTAACCCTCTTTGGTATTGGCATGTGAATTTTTAAAGTAGAAATCCAAGAAATTATTAATTTATCTAATTGATAACAAACCTACATTATTAAAATAATAACTAAATTAGCTTTGATTTCCCTCACTAGCATTAAAATGACAGATAGAACAGCTTTTAGCTTCATTCATTTATATGTAATCAAATAATTACTGAAAACTTTCTAGGTATCAGAGATGCATATCCCAGGGAAGAGCTAGGCAATGATAGAAGATAAAAATCTTATCTGTTAACATGTCTGGAAATGTAAACTTTCATTGCTTAAGCCACAAACAGGTTGTTACAATAGAACATTTATTATTTAACAAATAAAAACTCATGGTCAAGTCTGATTTATATATATCTCCAGCTACAATAACTTTAATCCAATAAACTCAAATCTTTTAAAATGAAAATAATTGCCTTCTCAAAGCTAGGGGTGTAACTTAGTGGTAGAGCACTTGTCTAGCATGCAGGTGGCTTGGATTCAATCTCCAGCACCACACACAAATCATTATAATAATAATGATCTTCTTAACAAAAGATATATTAATTTGTTAATGCACATTATATCCCAGAAGCCTGCTGGTTATTGTGTAGCTCCGAATTATTGTTGTTATATGGAAAATCTTTGTGATGACAATAAAATTGTTCATTTTCACTTTTCAAGATGGTAGGAATATTTTTTAGCATTACAGCATTAATTTGAGATAAAACTAAATTATATCGGTTTTAGTTCATATCATATCACTGTTTTATCTGCTTACAACACATATTTTTAAATGTAGACTAAATGTTTAAATTATTTTTAAAACAACATATCAAGCACCAAATTCTGTTTGTGCTTTTTATGAATATCCTGAGGCCTTTTTCTATTGTGGCATAAGTAATTGTTTTATCTCCAACTATACTTGTCAAAGAAAAGGAAATCTAAGGGATGTTGTTGCTTGTTTGTCCTTTCCTTGGGGGGAAAAAAAACCACAACTGTTTAACCTTAAATGTACCACTTTGTATTGCTGGCTTCAGTCTAAGTACAATCAAGAGGAAACTACATTTTCCAAAATTCCATAAATCAAAATTTCAAAGGGGAAGATTTGAAATGAGAGATGAAAGCCCATGAAATAATAATAGCTGAGCCTTTTTAAAATAGAGAGCATAGGAAGAGATGTACCAATGTAGAATATATAATAAACACAAAGCAAAACATGGGCGCTACAACAGTGAGTGTCATCTGTAATGGCCTGAGATATATGCACTCCACTCTGTCTCTTAGAGCTGTGACCTGATCTAATGAACTCTGCCAAGCTCAGTTTCTTCCTCTGTAAACTGGATGCTCATAGCACGTATCTTCAGGATTATCAGAGAATTAAATGAGATCAACCTTATAAAACATTCTACACAGAACCTAGAACTCAATGGTTAATAGCTTAAAACACTATCAACATTATCTAACTACATATTTACTCACATCTTAACCATACGATACTTGGTAATTTGTGAAGCACTTTGCCATACAATGTCCTGCATTGTGAATCACTTTTCAATCTTAATTCCTAAATAAGGAAACTGAGTTTCTAAGGAAGGGCTTTACCTCTGTTCTCACAGCTTGAGTTAAAGCTAGGATCTAGACCAAGGACTTCTAACCCCAAAGTCCAGCTTCCACTCATCCATAGCTGCTTCACAAGACCAGAAGGCAGTCTATCCAGGTCACTGTCCTGTCTTAAGGAAAATAAAATGATGGAGTGAGGGCTAGTTGCAGATAGATCAACATAGCTTTTTCTCGGCCAGTGCAGCTGTGTTCCTCCGAAGACTGGATTGTTTGGAAAATTTTGCATCTTCCAAGTTTCTAGAATTGTGTTCTTGAACATTAGGAAATTAAATGCAGATTTTTTTGACAATTGTGTATTTTCATTTGAAGTTGTGAAATGTGAAAGTTACTATGGATTTTGTCATACTCTGTCCTGTTGACAGTGGGTATTTTGTCTTCCTATAGGCATGTCAGCATCGCTCAAATTCAGAGATAATTTGCTGCACAACTCCCTCACTGCAACAGCTGAATCTGCAACTCCCACTGAAGACCAAAGCCTTGTTCGTGTTAGACGGGATCCTTTCCAAATACTTTGATCTCACTTATGTACATAATCCTGTGTTTAAGCCTTTTGAAAAGCCAGTGGTGATCTCAATGGGTAATGAAAATGTACTAGAAATTAAGGTAAGAATTGCTTTAAATGCTCTCTGAAGTCATCAACTTGAACTTTATTGACTTTATATCTATGTGAATAGAATAATTATACTTGGTCATTGTATATTATGATACATCAGCAAATGCCTAAGCTCTGAATAACCAATTTTTTGACATAAGACTAAAAGATAAGTTTAATTGTGGATAGCTTTTTAATGAAGTATTTTAAAACCCTTCCTTGGTGTATGTTTAAAAGTAGCAAATGCAGAACGCAAATCTATTTAAATAGGCTTCCTGTAATTCATTGTCCTGATGGTGCTATGCTTTTCTTATTTCAACTGAATGTGCTCATTGTAAGATACAAAGTAAGGACCATGAAAGTAAGTGCAAAATTGCAATTCTGTATTTTCTTATAATACGTGGAACTTTCTATCTGGGCGTTGTCACCTCTAAGCTGATTTATAAATGGAACTGGATTTCTCCCATCTTAGGAATATGTTAGCTTCTAAATATAATTTAATAGAGATAAATAACAGATCATCTTTCTAAGCCAGGCTGTTGCAAATAAAGAACACTGAAGTCCAGAGGGGTTAAGTGGTTTGACAAGTGATGAAATAGTAGAACAAAGACTAGAATATAACTCTGTCAGGTCACTTCAGTCATTTTTACTTCAAATAATAATGAAATAGACAAAATGATTAGGACTTTAATTATCCATAGCCCTAGTCATTAAAAACAGCAATATGTTCATCCTGCAATGTATTGTTGTACACATTCAGAAAATTTTTGTGAAAGATTATCTGCATGCAAATATGAATGAACACAGAGCAACAGGAGCATCCTTATTTAACAATAAAATAGCTTGTCATAGGTCATCTCCATCTAACCAGTGTCTCTACTGAAATTTTCCTGATTTTTCCACCAGATTTTTCTATCAGAGTTATCTGTCGACTAACTCGTGCACACACTACACTCATACAAGTTTACTAACCCCACAATTGTGTTTTGCACAATAATTAAGCAGTCCCAGCATGAAATTAAATGGAAGCCTGCTTCAATGAACAGCACGTTTACCACAGCAGAGTTCTTTCATCTGCTTCTTTAATTAGTTTTAGAAAAGAAGAAAGAGCTTTTATCACTTTTTTTTTCAATAAAACTAATCTAGTGTGACCTTTTGCTTTCAACAATTACTGTGTTTGCTGTTTGAAAGATTCCATTTGGTTTTCTTGATGAAAACAAAGGTTTATGTGCAAAGAGTTTTACGCCCAAAGAAACTCTATTTTCTGTTTCTGTATCTATGATGGACAGATGAGAGATAAATCATTCTTTATCTACACTTCCAAGCACAGTGTTGTGCAGAAGAGAAAACTTCTTTTTCGATAAAGTAAATACCCATTATTCAACATCCTTCAAAATTGTTGGACCAAGAAAAACGTGATTTGACATCATCCTCATCCTATTAGTGGTATTTCTAACATAGCCCAAGGGGTTTCTGGAGACAAGCACAAAGCACTTCCTTTTCTTGGCTATATAAAGATTTACTCTTTTTCTCTAACAAGTGTATAGCCCCCTGCCATGTCACAGAGCAGTAAACAGTGGGGCCAGTAGCAATGGTTTTGGTATCATGATTCAATTCCTTATTCCATTTTCCTTAAGTATAAGAAGGAATGTAAGGTGTACAGGAATGTTTATGCATTTATTATGACAGTGATTTAACCCTTTCTTGAGGCAGAAACAAAAGGAAATGAAGCATAAAAAGAGAAGGCTTTTTCTGGAAAAGCAACAGTGTGTTTTTATCAAAAGAAAGGCAACCTTGGGCTGGGGTTGTGGCTCAGCCGTAGAGCGTTCACCTAGCACATGTAAGGCCCTGGGTTCAATCCTCAGCACCACATAAAAATAAATAAAGTAAAAGTATTGTGTCCATCTACAACTAAAATAAATAAATAAATATTTTTTAAAAAACAAAGGTGACCATTTTATTTCATATTGGGCTTGTTCAATTACCATTCAAACCATGAGTGAAAAGTGTGTTTGTCTTTCACCAGTGAAAGTGCTGTGGAGACAACAATGTATTTGAAGTGAGATTTATTCTTTACTTCCAGGTAGAGCTCATGGTCCTTAACCAAACATTCCTGAAGGAATCCCTTGGCTAAAGAAGGGATTATGGAAGTTTCCAGTCCTAGTTTTAAGAGTTGCCTCAGTGAACAGTTAACCCAGTGACAAAACAGTGTGCTAAAGGGCAGCCAAGTTTGAAGCAAGAGAACACAATAGGTGCCAAAGATCAGTCACTGCTCAGAATGAATTAGAAGCCCCACTTGAATCAAAGTGTGAAATATGATATGTCAAGAAATATGTAATGTTTTGAACAACCAACAATAAAAAATTTAAAAAAAAAAAAAGAGAAGCCCCATGGATGTAGGAGGGAGTTCATGAACAAGTCTTCAATTCCTTGAAGCCAGTTGTGGACCGAACACATGGTAGAACACAGTGCCCCTATCAACAGCAGCTCACACTTAGGAGGAAATTTACAGTGAATCCAGTACTTTGACATATATTATTTCATTTGAACTTTACATGGACCTATGAGGTTTGGAGGTCAGTAATGGTTATCCCCATTTTTAGTTAGAAAAACAGGTTTAGAGAGATTAGTTTACTTGTCTTAGGGTCACCCAGGGAGAAAATAACAGCACTAGGGCTCACATTCCAGATTCTTGAATCCAAATTCCAGCAAATTAACTAAATTGCAAAGCTTCTCATATTAATCTTCATTAAATGTATGCCAAAATAAATAAAATACCCTTCATAAAAGAAAAATGTTTCTATCATATGCTATGTAGATATCTCTACAGTTCTTTAAGTGAAATAGCTCTAAACTTTTTACAAACATCTAAATATGATTATGTTTAAAGAAACCTTATATTTTCCCTATTTGTCTTATTATGTGACTTTTTGTGCATGGACATATTTCCTGGAAAGTAGTCACTAGAGAAGTACATGGAATGAGGATGGCCTGACACTGCCCAGGAGTTTTATCCTATTCTAGTGCATATAGAGATATATGGTAATAAACATGCTTCAAAAGACCAATCTGGAAAACTCAGCTCAAACAGAAAAGGGGGGCAGGAAGATGAGCAGAGGCAGGGAATAGGGACTCAATTATGACACAGTGAACACAAGGACAAATGTTGAGAGCTCAGGTGGAGGCCAGTCATCAATTACTAAGCATGAAAAAGGCCTAGATGAGACCATCATTCTGAATCAGCCCACTCCAACCAGAGGTTGTATTCTTCCTTCCACCACTAATTTACCTACAACTGTAGGCCAACCCCACTCACAACTACCCTGAGGCCAGTTCTCACTCCAGACTAGGTGGAAGGGAATGGTTTTCTTTCTCAGGCCATTGGATTCAGCATCAACATTTATTTGATGGCACTGATATCTTACTCTCCAATAGTGTTCTCCTGGGCTGCATACAGTAGGTATTCTGTGAAAACATGTATCCAAGTACACACAGACAAGCACCTGTGGTTCCGTAGTGGTTCCCCAAGTACAGAAGTAGTAAAGATCCCCAGTAACCAGTGAAGAAACCAGCTTAGTTTTGGTTAGTCTCAAAGCTACAGGAAACTTTTTCCTTCAGTTACCTGTTGAAATCTTGCTGAACTCAGTTTGAAAACTTTCTGTGAAGGTTCTGTGCCTGGATTCTAAGCGAGGTACTTACACCCCCAAGTAAAGTGTTTATCTCATTCACCCCACCACCCAGTCACTGATTTCCAGCTGACGACCTCCCTGAACTGAACTGTTCCTGTCTGCGTGCTGCTACCAACGTGCACCTTACTGCTTTCACTGACTCAAACTCATCACTACCACCTGGATGTGAAAACATGCAGGATCCCTTCTATTATATTGCAATTTTTCAACTCTTACTCATTTCCACTCATATTTGCTGCCATCTCAGACATGTAGCATCCCCAGGCCTGAATAGAGTAGAAACATTGTGTCTCGGCCAGGTGGGGTGATGCACACCTGTAATCTCAGCACTCTGGAGGCTGAGGCAGGAAGATGGCAAGTTCAAGATCAGATTCAGCAATTTAGCAAGGCCCTGAGCAACTTAGGAAGACCATGTCTCAAAATTAAAAAAAAAAAAAATAGCAAGGGCTGGTCATTAGCTCAGTGGCAAAGTACCCCTAAGTTCAATCCCCAGTACCAAAAAGAAAAAGAATCTCACCTGGCCAGAGTAGGAGAGGGAAAAGGCAAAGTGTATCCTAATGTGACACATTGGGAACCATTGGTATTCGTTTTAGAAATGCACCCACTTACCATTACAATGAAACTCTATTCATCTTTATATTCTCAGTGGGGAGACCTGGGTCTAACACATGGTAGATTGTAAGCAGATTTTGTATCCAATAGAATTTGATGTCCTTTGTGACCTAGTCCTTTCTTGAAACTCAGTTGTCTGTATGTAATGCAAGAATTACAATAATACCTAGATGGGGATGTCTTTGCAGGATAGAATGAGATAATTATAACTCTTCATTGTTCTATATGCATACGGGATTAAAGATCAGAAATTTCCTCTTCTGTTGCTTTATTTAAAAGCCCATATTTTATCATTTCAGTGACTAAAGAACTGAGCTGATTTTGTAAATGTGTTGTCTTTTTAATAATAGTTGATAGTCAATGATAAATAGTAAAAAGCAAATAATAAGAGTCCTAAACATACACATTTTTTAATAGCTCAATAATGCTATGTTTACTTTAATTGACAAAAAGTAGCCTGTACCTATTTTTTTTTTTTTTAACTTTTCCTGGTTGGAAATCAGCTCCTCCCTTATAGGCATGGAGTGTCAGTATCACTGCTGTGATATCTGGACTTTTCAGCTTTTATGACAATCACATACTCAAAGCTGATGGTAATTTTTCATGTAACTCATTGCTCATCATTTATTCCTTGGTGTGTGAAAAGGGATTCATTGTTCAGCTGTATGTTCTGCTCTCATTTTGCCTTTAACATCCAAGGAGCTCCTAGCCTAAAAGAATGAGCCTTGGAAATGGAAGTGCAGTGAGTTCATCCCTTCCCCCAACCTTACTTATTATCTAACCAAGCATTTTAGTCCTTCTCTCATAAATCAAGCCTTCCAGCTCTTTAATCTTTTTCTCTGTCATTCTCTGAATTCTCTCCAATATGTGAGTAAGGGCCTTGGCCCTCCTCAGACCTAACCAACAAGTTGTCATTTGAAGCCCCAAAGTGACCTATTAGATTTATGTGTTTCTATGTTGAATTGCCCTGTGTGGCTGACCTGGATCAATGGATTGCTCATACTGCCTCTAGGAATATCATAAGGATAGTGTTTGTCTATGTTCATTTTTTTATCCTATTTCAGCTTCATATTATAAGGAAATACCTTCCAGATCCTTTTCCTAGAATAATATCTGACTTATTAATCTGTTGAGATCTAGTGAGACATTGTATGTAAAAGCAGTTCACCAACTATTATAGACTATATAAACAAAGTAGCAGAGCTATAGTTACTACTTGCTGGTTTTTGTCTATGAGAAAAATTATAATAGGTTTTGATACATCTCTCCTTAAAGTAATGACTTGTTTAATAAATAACTGTACTCATTAAGTCTTGATATGAGAAATCGTATTCATGTTTACATTTCTTTCCCAATGATTGATGTCTTCAACAAAATGTTGATGCTGTAAAAATTCCTGATGGTAACTTTAGTAAACTAAATATGTCAAATTGAGTAATTTTGAAAAATCCTCATGTAACAATATAATTGTTCAAACTAATGTAATTGTGCTCTCAAATCATAATTAAGGTCATGTGGCATCTTAGAGAAATTTCTTTGAAAATGAATTCATTTATGCATTGGATTCAAGTGTGTAAGAAAAATAAGAAACTGCCCAACTCAGAAAAGGAATTTTTGGGGCAGGGCAATTACATCAGTTCTCTGGAGATGGGACCTGGGTATCAATATTTTTTCAAGCTCTAAATGTCCTTCTAAAAGTGAAGCCAAGGTTGAGAATCATTGCATTAAGTAGTGTGAGGCAGAGCAGCAACTGAATCTCTATGTGGCTTCTTTTTTGTCAAATATTGATACCCCCTGACAATAATAATAAGATTATTGTGAATAAGATGCCATTCAACATAAGAACGTAAAATAAGGTTCTCCCTTTTCTCTAAAATCTGATTTGTTGGAAAAGCTGTGTCCTGTAATTCCTAATTAGTGCCTTGAAATGGTTACACTCCCCTTCTCCATCCCAATTCTCACAAAAATGAACATCATAAAATCACCTGCCTTTGCAAACAAATTAGCCTGCATTTGCAATACATCTATATTTCTCTATAATTGTCAGCATTCCTGCAAACCTGTAAATGGTTAACATCCTCTTTTCTTTCTTTCTTTTTTTTTCTTCCAGGGAAATGATATTGACCCTGAAGCAGTTAAAGGTGAAGTGTTAAAAGTTGGAAATAAGAGCTGTGAGAATATACGCTCACGTTCTGAAGCCATTTTATGTACAGTCCCCAATGACCTGCTGAAATTGAACAGCGAGCTAAATATAGAGGTGGGGTTCCTGCATTCGTCTCATGATGTAAATAAGGATGCCAGTGTAATTATGTCACTCCGAGGCTTAAAATAAATCATTAAAGCTCATTTGTGTGTTGGCTTTGGCTCATCAACTCAGCCTCAATTCCTAGTTGTTATTTTAGAAATAGTGGGGTTTTTTGTCACAGTGTCTCCTTCCCCAGGCTTATGAGGCTGGATATCAAAAGTTCTTTCTATCCACAATGCCTCTCCTTTAAAACATACTGAAATTCTCAGTGGGGATAAGGGCACACCTAAATGTCCTTCCCCCAATCTCTCACCACCCCAGGAGGCCAGAGCCAATGTATCACTGCCCACCATAGTGATCACAAATATATGGACCCCCATAAATATAAGAAGTCATATGCACTGGACCAAAGATAAACTATTTTATGTAACTTCTGTCATGCAGATAGCTAAATCAGATAACTTAGAACCCAAATAATTCTTTCATTATTTTTAACAGCTTTATTGTAATATAGCTCACATACTATACAATTCATTCATTAAAAGTGTACAGGTCACTTTTTTGTTATATTTGTTATATTACATCATTAATTTCTTTAAATTGTGGTAAAACATATATAATATAAAATTTGCCATTTTAATCATTTTAAATATGAAATTCAGTGGCATAAATTGCACCCATAATGTGTAACCATTACCATTGTCTAATTTCAAAACTTTTTCATCACCCCAAACAGAAGCTATGAAACCATTAAACACTAACTCCAAATTCCCTTCTCTCCCTGATCCCCTGGTAACCTCAAATCTACTGCCTCTATGAATTTGCCTATTCTAGATGTTTCATGTAAGTGGAATTATACAATATTTGTCCATTTGTATCTAGCTTTCACTTTCCTTAGCATGTTTTCAAGTTTCAATACATAAACATGTATCAATACTTTATTACTTGTTATGACTGAATAATATTTGATTGTATATATATCACATTTTGTTTATACAAGAATAAGTGGTTTTTAAAGGATTCCTGGAGTCTTCTGTAAAGTTATGAAGTAAAGACTTACAAAAGAATTAGAAAATCGAATACTGAATCATGAGATCAGAGTTGGAATTTCAAAATAACCATAAATCAAAAATCATACAATGTTAGAACTGGAAGGGAACTCAAAGTTTCTTCCCTGTATCAAAACTGATATAAAAACCAGGTGTAATGCCCATGCCCATAATCCCAGTGATTCCAGAGGCTGAGGCAGGAGGATCACAACAAGTTTGAGACTAGCCTCAGCAACTTAGCAAGACTTTGTCTCCGAGTTAAAAAAAAAAAAAAAATTGAAAAGGTAAAGCTCAGTGGTAAAGTGCTCCTAAATTCAATCCCCAGTACTAAAATTTTTAAAAACTGATATAAAAATATTCTGAGGGGGCTGGGGTTGTAGCTCAGTGTAGAGTGCTTGCCTAGCACCAGTAAGGTACTACATTCGATCCTCAGCACCACATTAAAAGGCAAACAAAAAAATAAAGGTTAGTTCTTTAAAAAAAAAAAATTCTAAGATTTTATTGTCCTATAAAAATTGATTATTTGCCTCTTTTGGATGTTCTTTCTGCCATCCACCCCACTCTCCCTAGTAAGGAAAAATTAATTTCTTACTTTTTCTTCTTACTCCCATGATATAGTTCACATTATAGTCTAATAATTTATTTGTGTGCTGTCTCCTCTAATATTTTTCATTCCACAAGATGAAAAACTGTTTTATCTTTTTATTCCTATTACCCAGTTATAACTACAGACAGCTACATGCATTATATGAGTACTTTGAGGATCAGTATTCCTAATTCTTCAAACACTGAGACAGAATTTAGGAATCTCATTACTCCGAGGGCAATTATGCCACTTCTAGAATGGTAGTAACCAGATGGTATTTGGGGCCCAGAAAAATCACAACCCTTCCTGGATGGTATATTTTATATCTGTCATGACCAAATTCTGACTTTTTTTCTTTGTCATTTTTAGTGGAAGCAAGCAGTCACTTCAACTGTCCTTGGGAAAGTAATAGTTCAACCAGATCAGAATTTCACAGGATTGATTTTTGGTGTTGTCTCCATATCAGCAATACTCTTATTATTAATCGGGCTTTTCCTGTGGCTGAAAAAGAGAAAGCAAACAAAAGGTGCATTTTTTTGTTGTTGTTATTGTTTGTTTTAAGAAATTCTCTTAGAAATACAGTTATTCCAGTTTAACCTTGTCACAGATCTACGTGTGCTGTCACATGCAGTCCATGACACCTGTGAGCACTGGGCATTGGGTCAAGTGTTCAAAACCAGTGACAGCAAAGTCTAACAAGCCCTGTCTCTCTCTGTTTTAAGATCTCAACAGTGATTTAGTTCGCTATGATGCAAGAGTCCACACTCCCCATTTGGATAGGCTTGTAAGTGCCAGGAGTGTGAGCCCAACTGCAGAAATGGTTTCAAATGAATCCGTTGACTATCGAGCTACTTTTCCAGAAGGTATGTTTCAGTTTATTGTCCTGAGAGGTACCTAAATATATATACTTCTGTGGATTGTGGCATTGTTGTTTCTTTTTGCTTTGGCCTTTATAGTTTTAATAAGCCTGAGAAAGAAGCATTTCCCTCTGCCAAAGAATAATTTGATGCAGAAAGAATCACATGGCTCTTCCTTTAAGATTAACTCATGCATATATTATATTAATTTCAGTGTCTGTGAACTCTAGTCTCCCAAAAAAGGTGAATTTTAAAATCATTTGAGCAGTGCTGGGGATGTAGTTCCATGGCGAGCACTTGCCTAGCATGTTTGAGGCCCTGAGTTCAATCCCCAGCAGTGTAAATAAATAAATAAATAGAATCATTCAAGCAAAGGTAACTTATTGGCTGAGTACAAAGCTAAGAAATTGTGACACTCTCTTTAACAACTCTGGAAGAGCTAAGTTACAAAACATATTTTTATTTAAATAAAAGTCAGAGCCGCTACATTTTTACCTTGTTGATCCCCACATTTTTGAATTATACCATTAGAGATCTTTTGAAGCATTCTCAAGGAACACAGCCCTTTACCTACAACATTCCAGGACTTAAATATATTTTGAGTCTTATCCAAGAAAAACCTTCATTTATGCTCTTAAGCAAGGAGAGACCAACATCATCTGCTTTGCAAAACATTAGGCCTAATAATGTCAGAGTTAACCAGAGCTTTTCACATTGTTTTATTTAAAAATCTCCTGCTCAAAGCAAAATGTCTGTATTGTATCAGCTCCATTATCTTTAGAAGTTACAGGACATGAGTCAAGCACAAGCATTTCCCTGGTTGAATATTTACCATTGGACAAATAAAATGAGTCACGGGCAGTTTTGGATCCTGGAAAGTTAGAAGTTGCTCATCCAATGAGCACAAGACCAATGAAGCATTCAACTTTTTCAGCACTTGCTGCCTCTTATTTTTTGAAGCTCACTTGTTATTTCTGTAAACATTGTTTTTGCCTACCTGACTCCTTTCACCTTTAGAAATCAATTTCTTTAACAATATGGACAAAACAAACCTAATTTGTGGATTTGAAATTTAGATCTAGTTAGGATTTCATATTCATATTTAGTAACTCTAACCTGGGATAAAATTCAAAAGTTATCTTTTTAAAAAGGCTTTCCTAATCTTTCCAATGCCTTACTCACCAAACCTCTATCATCATTGCTAAGAACAATGAGCTGCTTCCTCCTGTCTACTTTCAGCCTGCACCTTGGAGACATGGGTAGGTAACACAGGCAGAAGAGGGCCACCTGCAGAGAACAGGAAGGGAGGGAATGCACATCAAAACAAGACAAAGAGGCAACCACAGACCTTCTCTCTGTTACTGCTGGTCTAGCCTGACAGTCTTCTTTCAGAGAGACCCAGAATTCTCTGTGGTGTTACACCAGTGTCACATATTGGTGGTCTAAATTTGTTTTTGTACATATCTGAATTCAGCTAAAGGTTCAGTAGAACTTCCCTGCCAAAGGACCTTTGTCTTGTGTCCACTATAGAGTTCCCTCAATCTCTGCACCTCTGAGAATTTATAGCTCTGATCTCTAGGTACAAAGGTTTGGGAGTGAAGATGAAAGGACTGAGTTTAGAGAGGCTCAGTTGCACTTCTAGCCCCTTGAGGAAGGTTTGGAGAACCTGACCTTGGGATTAAAGGAGCAGGCATTGAACTAGACTTTCTCCTTCCTTCATTCATCAACATTTCAGGTACTTCTTATTCATTCCACATCCACATTTGAAGGTCACAACTGTCATATTTCCAGCTAGTGATTACCATGACTGTAAGCAGCACCCAAAACTTTTCTAGAACTACTTTTCAGATTTACTGTTCGGGCCAATTTTTATTATTAACCAGCTATATCCACTGTGGAAAATACTAAAAATGCTGAAGTGGGATTAGAAATATCAGGGTACCATCAACCTTTTTCGCTCAAATTCTGATTCTCTTGTTGATTCGCAAACAAACAATATTATCAGTTGGTGCCCAAACTGACCTCCCCCAACACACATGAATGACTGTCTCCTCCAATGATTGCCTCCGTACCCACCTAGGGTATCTTCAAATCAGTTGCTGTGGTTTTGATGCCCCCTCTTTGATATATACAGATTCCAGCATCAAGAGCAGAGCAATTGGTGCTTCTCTGCCCTGTTTGGCAGTGAGAAATATACATGCAACACAACAATTTCTTCACCCCTAAATGAAAATCAAAACCAAAACTTCTTGCAAAAGGAAACCTTGTCTGAAGCTCTTATAAAGCTTTGGTTGTAAACAAAGACTTATAAGGAATGCAGACTCCTGTCCAAGTCCCCTCCCCTAAGCAGTGGGGATGGCACACTAACCAGGGTCCAAGCTGCCTCTAAATAGCAATTACACTAAATCTATTGCTATCACCACAAAGTGGAGAATGTACCACTACTGTGAAAAGCTTTTTTTTTTTTTTTTTAGCTTTGAAACTGTGGCCATTATATATGTAATTATATGTGTATATGGGTTGAGCATCCCTAACTGCCCCCAATCTGAAATTCAACATGTTCCAAAATCTAAAATATTTTGAGCATATCAGCACTTAAAATATTTTGGATTTTGGAGCATTTCAGATAGATTTTCAAATCAGGTCTGCTCAGTGAGTAAAGTCTATGAAGATTTTCCAAAATCTGAGAGAAGCTAACATATGAAGCACTTCTGTCCCAGGCATTTTAAGAAAGCCATACTCAGTCTATATGTAATTATGTATATTTTATTCTGCACATTTTTCCTTGGCTAGGAATTTGCACAATATTAATTATTTCCACTCATAAACACCAGACTCTCAAAAGACATTATTTTCATTTTCTTACATGTAAGCTGGATTTTTATGAGATTAAGCAATTGTTTTTAACTGTCTTTTCTGCTTCCCATTTTTAAGGAAATATTCAAAAATAAATTTCAAACCTGGCTTTTTGCTATTAATAAAAAGAGAAACATCTAAGCAAATGAGGAGTCTAAAAAAACTAATGTATTGTCTACTTAAAAGAAAATTTGCAAGTGTTTTATATGTATAAGCCAGTATCTTTCCCCAATTTATTACTATTTTTATCAACCAATTCCTTTGTAAAGGCTATTCCCAGCCTCATTTGATTCTATAACCACCATTTCTTTAATCTTAAAATTCAGGCTTCACTATCAATTTAAATTAATTTACTACCACTGTTGCAGCCTCCCTAAGTGAGGTTTTACACCTGTTTTCTAGTCATTTTGTTTTATCTTGCAGACCAGTTTCCTAACTCATCTCAGAATGGATCATGCAGACAAGGGCAGTATCCTCTGACAGACCTGTCCCCCATCCTAACCAGTGGAGACTCTGATATATCCAGTCCATTACTGCAAAATAATGTCCACATTGACCTCAGTGCTCTAAATCCAGAGCTGGTCCAGGCAGTCCAGCACGTAGTGATTGGGCCCAGTAGCCTGATTGTGCATTTCAATGAAGTCATAGGAAGAGGTAAGTATTTCCACTCAGCTTTTCGTTAAATACGATTTTCCAGTAAGCATTTTATCTTCTGCCTTTGCAGATTAGGAACTTAGACAATGGCGAAAGCAACTGACAGAGCACTGATAATGAGTGTGTTTGATTTCTGTTCTGTAGAAATGCAGCCTTGCAAATCATATCCAGGGGGACTTGTCCCTGTGTATCCAGGCAATTGGATAACTTCCCAAACATGTTAGAAATAAATTGCATTCCTTCCTCATCTTCCTTACACTGGCAACTGTAGTTTCTTGAATAGTGCCATACACTTATTTTTTAAAGATTATTCTTGTAAATTCTGTTATTTTCACTCATATCTCCTTCCAGTCTTTCTTTGCCGTGAGAACAGTGACAAACTCTAAAGTCCTGGTTTATAGCAGTTTGTATACTGCTGGACAGCATCAGAAGACAGGGAATTTATAGCATTCCCCTGATCTGAAGCAACATATATCATCTCCACAATGCACTCCAATTTCTTTATACAAAGAAGAATGAATATTTGTAATAAGCTAGCCAGAGCAGCAATAACAGCTAGCATAAACAGTATTTGAGGAAATATTTAGCAGGAAAAAAAAGCAACCAGAAGCCAAGAAATGAACTCCACTCTTTTTTTTTTTTTTTCCTAAAATACTTTTATCCTAATACTAAATGGCCTCTGATCCCTTTGATTCTGTATGTGCTGCATGAAGTAGCACAGGCATCTGCCAGTGTGATGCAGGAGAACTGATAGGATCCATTGCCTTCTATGAACATGAGACCTTCTCACTCTCATATGGTGGCATCCAGATATTCCTCTGTCACACACTCCAGAACTTAATTCTGAGCACACTGCTCTTTCCCTAAAAGGGCCTTCACTATTCACAAGTATGTTTCCATGTCTCACATCAGAGTATTGTATATCTCTGTTATCAGCCTGTAAATACCAGTGATTTCACTGGTTTTGGAGTGTGGAGCCTCACTAGTTACGTTCCAATTCTACCCACTGTAAAATTATCATGAAAAGTGCTAAAGTGGCAATTATTGCTCTTTTGAAATCATAGTAATTAACAATCTATAAGTGTTAACTACTATTTGTTTATATGTTTTTCTCCAGGAGAATGTAAGCACTCACTCATGAGTGTAGGCTTATTTTCTTCAACTTTGTGTTACCTAATGCCTGACATTCCCATACTAGGCACTCAGGGCATCTTGGCTGGCTGGATGAATTAATTGATGAGTGACTTACACAGCTATCAGATATTTGGCACCTCTGGGAAAAATCATTGCCACTGAATGAAAGGCTACCACTGGGAAAATGATGTGGTTAAAGCTAAAGGGAAGTGCATGAAATGAGTCAGAGTGAATTTGCTTCATTTGGGCAACTGCCTTTCAATTTCTGCCAACCTGGCTTACATATTAACCGGTGACTAATGGGGGAAATCCTTCTTCTATAATACTAATCTTATTTCTAATGGCAGCATTATTATTTTATTTTGTTTTACTGGAATACAGGGAGCTTATTTTGTTATATTTCTTCATGCAAGTAAAACTTTATTTTCATATTAACATTCATTTCACCTACAGTTTTTACATATACTAATAATCATATGGCTAATATCCTGGAGAAAAAAGTACTTCATCTACATATGTACACAAACACACACACACACACACACACACACGCGCATGTATAATGGTATTGTTAATGAAAGTATCAAAAGCAATGTACTTTTTTGCCATATAGAAAAAAGGAAGAGATGATGGCCATGGAAGGCTTAGTAAATAATTATTGCATAATTAAACATTATGCAACTCTAACCAAGTCCCTTCTTTCACACAGGGCATTTTGGCTGTGTGTATCATGGAACTTTGTTGGACACGGATGGCAAGAAAATTCACTGTGCTGTGAAATCCTTGAATAGTAAGTTACATTTTACTTAACAGTAGAGGATACTTTCATGGCTTACAAACTAAAAAATAGATCAACTAATAAAATGCTGATTTACACTTTTTCTGGAAAAAAAATTATGGGTCTAATTCTGAAAATGTGTTTAGTCTAAACTCAGTGAAGCATTTCCTCTGAAGTTATCCTTCAGAGCCTTCATAAGAAAGGGTATAGGAAAAATGAGATTCGTAGATGAGCTGAGTATCATTTAACTGTGTTGGCCATATAATATTTGTTTTGCAAATGACATTTGTGGAAACTACTGAAAGCAGGTTGGCACATACAGTAGTAATGACTCATTTTACCCAGAGGCATTACTGTAATTATTTTTTAACCACAACTTCCAATTGAAAAGATTTTTTAAAAAAAGAAAGAGAGAAATATGCTGGCAGAAAATTAGAACTGTGGTGATACTTCATCTCTCTGCCTGTTTGGGGATTGAGTTGTTCTATATAAATGAACTTCCTAAAGAAGTGAAACCTACCCCCTTTTACTGCTAGAACATTTATTAAAAATTTAGCTGTTATTGAGAAAGTCTTCTTAAGATGAAATATATACCTGTTTAAGAAACAAGGAATGTTTCCAAACATAAACTAAGTCTTTACTGATGACTGAGAGACGTAATTATGGCCATAAATTACCATTTGGTACAAGCTCGTGCATGCCACATACTAGAGTGTTCCTGACTCCACCTTTGTTGAAACCCCTCTCATACTTGCATTTTCTACTCCCGTTTCTAATGTTCTGCCTATAACTTGAAGGAGCCTGAAAAAAATGTTAGCCATCTCTATTACAGAGTTATATTAGCATTAATAAGTTTTAAATGTACAAATAGAAGGTTTGCCTGCAAGATACACCATTGCTACAACTCTTTCAGCCTTTTTTAAATATCAGTCTCCATGCTGAGCACCCTTGTGTGGTTAATTTTGTTGGAAGTCTGACCACAAAGTAATTAAAGAAATCTAATAGTAAATTGTGATGGATTAAGTACAGTTGTTAATAAATTCATCTCTCTAGAGAGCAGTACTGCCAACTATATTCAGCAATCCTAACATCAAGACATCTTTCCTTGTCATTGGTACATGTCGATCCCTATTCAGACCATCCCGATTTCCAGTGTCTTTTCCAGGTCTCAGAATGCACTTCATTTGTAAGAAAATGACAACATGCCACGAACACCAAAAAGATACATATCAAATTAATATATTAATGTTGTTGACTTCCTTAATGAGAACGTGTATCAATCCCTCAGTATCTCTCTCTCTGGAAATGCGTAGAAACTACTAGACTCAAAGGGACCTATGTAGATACCATATGGTCATTGGACTTCAGACTCTCTTAGTCCACAAATGAGTAAACAATGGCCCACCCCCTAATAGAGTCTATTGATGCACAGAGAGTTATTGTCTGTGGTGTCTTTCATGATGATCAATAGCAGATCTGAGCAACAGCGACCATCTGGCCCACTGTGTGTGTGTGTGTGTGTGTGTGTATTTTTTTAAACTATCTGATCTATTATAGAAATTTGCCAGCCTGTGCCCTGTAGATAATCACTATAGAAATGAACTGGTCTGATCTCCCTGATCCCCTATCCTTTTTCTGTAAGAGACAATCTATGGTTCTGTATGAGACAAACTGATTGCTGAACTTGATTTTACAAAAGTGGGTTTTCCGTGGTAACTTGAAGTCATAGTGTAAAGAGTCATTGTGGGGCTCAGATAACAATGCTCCAAAGTATGGATGCTGAGTATGTTGAACTGAAGGACATTGGAGGACACTGGAGGGGCTTCAGAAATGAAGTTTCTTCCTGACCTTCTCCTGCCTTTCTTTCTCCTGCTCTCCTCTTCACACCCCCAATCCCCGTCCCCACCAAGTCAGGTCATAGAACCTAGAACATTTCCCCCCCGCCCCCCGTCCCCCACCAAAAGCCACTTAAAACACAAAAAGATTACTCTAACCTTCTTCTGCCATTCTGTCTTGGAGTTAACCATAAAGAAATTCTCTAGCCTGCCCTGTCGGCAAATAGTTCATAAGGCCCTCATTCTAGAAGGGATACCCCAGAAAGAGGCCACAAAGAATCCCAGAAGACAAGCCTTGCTTGGTTTCCCTCTCAGCCTGTTACCATTAGGTCATACACTTTTTGTCCAGTCACATTTCCACCCATCCGTCCACTCTTCATCAGTCCAAGCATTAAAATAAAATTTAAAAAAATTAAGAAGGACAGCTTTCCCTGGGTACTTAGGGCTTGGTTTTTTAAAGGTTCCCATGCCTTACAAAACTTCGATTAAATAAATCTGTTTTGCTTTGCTGTTGTAATCTGTCTTTATTTATAGGAGTCTCAGCTGTGACCCTTATGATGAGTGAGGAAAACAATCACAGCTCTCCACCACTGTGACACCATTCACTCAGATATATTGTACAAAAACAGTGGGGTTAGGCCTCAGGACAAGGCATCACCTTGGGGTTTTACATCTCCTTGCTCTTCCTATCTAACTTGACAAAGTATGCATTGTTCCAAAATGAAGTCAAGTCTCCATCTCTGGATTTCTCAGGAATCACTGACATAGAAGAAGTTTCCCAGTTTCTGACTGAGGGAATCATCATGAAAGACTTTAGTCATCCCAATGTTCTCTCACTCTTGGGAATCTGCCTTCGGAGTGAAGGGTCTCCCCTGGTGGTCCTACCATACATGAAGCATGGAGATCTGCGAAATTTCATTCGAAATGAGACTCATGTGAGTATATTACCAAGTTTGCTAACTGTTGAACTACCTGGAAATCAGTCATCCCTTTATACATGGCTGCTTTCACTCTTAAAAAGCTATCAGCCAAAGAGGCACATATAAAATGTTGGGAACATTCAAACGTACCTCAGAATTCTGGCCTGGTGGGAAGACGGTGCGACTTGGAATGGTATCCTTGGACAATCATTCTTACTTGCCCCGCAAGCAATCTTGCTGTACCATTCCCTGATGATACATTGAAGTCATCTTTGAATGCCTACTCTTTGCCAGAGCATAGCACAGGAGAAGAGGCAAAAGAAGCCACAGCCCATGTGGCATTTTAACTCTGGGAGACAATGAAGAATTAATAACCAATGAGTCTTCCCTGTTCCTCAGTCTTGCCACCCTTTCTGCCACCTCAGGGCCTTTGTACTCACTGATCCCTCTGCCTAGAACACTCTTCCCCCAGATATCCATGCATTTCACTCCCTAATCTCCTTCAGCTCTTTGCCCCAATGTCATCTTCAAAATGAGGCTTCCCTGACCTGTTTTAAATGGCAGCTGCCTGCCCCATCCTCATGCCCTCCGTCATTCCCCTTTCCTGGTTTTATTCTCCATAACACTTAGCTGATAACTATGAGCTCAGGCTGTCCAGTACTGTGGTCACAACCACATGTGTGAATGTGGCCAGTTCAAATCAAAAGGTACAGTAAGCATAGAGTACACCCCAGAGTCTGAATAGTTAACATAATCTATAGATTGCATGTTGAAATAATATTTTTGATATGTTGGGTTGACAGATATATTCTAAAAATTAACTTCACCTGTTTTCTTTTACTTTTTGAATTGTGTATGTGGCTTATGTTGCATTTTTTGTTGAATTATGCTGTACTGGACAATAAACAATAGCTCTGGTGTATATGTATATACACCACATACACACACACACACACACACACACACACACACAGGCTGTTAGATGCAAGCTCAGGAGGGTAGGTATTTTTATGTATTTTGGTTACTCCTAAGGCTTCAGTGATTAAAATTAGCATTCAACTCATAGGCTATCAGTAAATATTGTGAATAAGTGTTCTTACAGTTAACAAGAGGATTATAGGCTCTTGCAAGTGGGAGTTTTCTTAATGAAATTTATGCCAGGGGGTGAGCAAGCATTGACCAGGCCAGTCAGTGCCAGGGAGGGCTAGTGAGGAGTCTCCAGAATTGAATTCACCTATGGCCTCAGCTCCTCTTTGGCTCCTGTAGCCCAGGTCTTGTGGGACTCAACAGAGTAGCTTTACTCTCACTCAAAAACAACTTTATAAACACAGGGTCAAGTTCTCAGAGAAAATAAGCTCTAGGACAGTTAAGAAATATTTTGTGTTCAGCCAAAAGACTAAAACAACTCCCTGGCAGGGAATTTTTACAGATAAAAAGAATTTACTTTGAAAAGTGCAAAGCTACCCTGACAGATCCCACTTTAACTCTTGTCTTTACCCAGATGAGTCAATCTTCTTGGATGTGCTACCTTCTCTGGAGTGTTGTTCCCCCAGGGTTAAAGTATGACAGACATGTCTTATTATCCAGTACAGAATAGTACCCATCCAGACTTTTATACCCCAAGGAGTTGATTGACACTGATGATGGCCCCTAACACGATGTGTCTTCTAAAGAGAAGCCTGAAACACAAGTCACTGGCCTCTTCACAGTCTCTGTACATCAGAGGAGGCAGCAGCCCATCTTACTAGGTCCCCACTGAGTGCCTTTTATGCTTACAAACTCCACAGAGGCTACTGAAAAAGAAGCCCTCTTCCTGAAGCCCAGTCCCTCGCAAGGGCTGTCAGTCACAATGACATCTGTGTGATTTCAGATTCAATTCTTCCTATTAATAAGGCATTGCTCTGTCCATCTAATGTTGTGGATGGAGTTTGTGGAGAATGGGATATCCTATTCTCTGAGCTGGTCCAGAAGCCTAAGAGTTGTGTGTTAATGATACATCAGTCCCAGTAGGAGGGCTTATGATTGGAGCCAAAGAGACTTAGGTTAGATCCTAACTCCACCAATTACTCTCCCAAGTACTTCAGGTTGATCTGTTTCTCTTTGAGCCTCCTGAATTTACTATGTATTTCTGGTGCTTTGAATTTGAGCCTTGCTAACACTGAGGCTATCCCTCCCAGAGTTAGAATTCCTGGAAATAAAAACAACTTGTCTTCAGAAAGCACCTTTCATATGCAGACCAACCAATCCATAGACCACACCCCAGCCATCTTCTTCAAAGTAGCCAATCTGAAATCTGGTAGCTTGCCTCACCTTTCCTCCCCAAGGAAATTACAATAAAGGCTCTTGCCCCTCACTCCCTCTGCCTCCTGACTGTCCCCAGTGCTTCCCTGGTAGCCCTGCATGGCATCAGATGCTCCCTTCTCTTGGGAACTGTAAGTAACAAACCATCTTTTCAATGAAAATTGCCTTCAGAGCTGTTGGCCTCATCATAACTGAAGATTTTAAAACCTGCATTTCAAAACATCACCATTTCCCCATCTGGAAAACACCTGCCTTCAGAAGAGTATGAGAATTAGCCATAATTCATAAAAACATCTAGCTTGATGCTTTACATACTATAGGTCCTTAAGAAATAGTTGTTGCTGTCAACAGGGAATAAGTTATTATTTGAGACAAGATAATTCTTATAAACATGTTAGGATTTGGAGATCAGAGGTAGAACAGTGGGTGTTTAGTTTATGCTTTTCCAACTCTCTTTGATTGCAGAACCCAACTGTAAAAGATCTTATAGGCTTTGGTCTTCAAGTAGCCAAAGGCATGAAATATCTTGCAAGCAAAAAGTTTGTCCACAGAGACTTGGCTGCAAGAAACTGTATGTAAGTATGAGAATCTCTGTACCCACAGTCCAAATTAAGTGATGAGAGTTTGTTTCCCACTGTTCAAAGCTAATGAAGATGTTTTTCTCTTCTTATGCAAAAAAATCCTTTATTTCCTTGGCTGTTTTAAATGGATGTGTAAGCCTTTGGGAGGTGGGGGTGGGGGCTTTCAGGCCTTATCAAGCAGAGGATTTAAAAGGTTGCCCCACAGGGGGTCTCCAGCAGCTGTTGTGTACTTTCACTTTTCTGGGTCCTTCCCACAAGCAGCCCCCAGTGTTGTGGTTTCACACTGAATTAGTCCTTAGGAGGGAGAATTTGATCTTCAGCATCTTACAGTGGAAAGGAGAGGGCTGGTAACACAAATACCAATACAGTGTAACTTCCCAAGTGTAGATCTGAAGTCAGCCTGCAGACGCCCTACCAAAAATGGTATTTGGGAATGAATATACAAAGAACTTTTATTTGTGTCTGGCTGCCTGGCTGTATAACACAACAGTCAACAGTTTGCAATTGATTCTGTGCCTTCCCCTTGCCGAGCACTGATTCAGGACCTATGGTATGTGTGAATGAAGGAGCTGTGCTATTAATTTTCTACCTTGGTTTTGGTCAACGTAACATCATAAAATCCAACTTAAACCAGTTAGCATAATGTGTGTGTGTGTGTGTGTGTGTGTGTGCGCGCGCTTTAATTTTAGTATGTTAGATGCTTTATTTGGATCTAACATTCTAAGATTGATGCTTTATTTGGATCTAACATACATTCTCTATTATCTCAGTGGTGAAATATTTGAGTTTTATATACTGACCTGACACATGTGAGAATGAAGAAGTAAAATAACAATCCTATGTCATGTCTCTCACATGGAACTGAGTATTTCTGATAAACTGACAAGCGAAGATGGGGAATTGTGTTGGGTAGTTGACGTATTCTATTTATCAGCTAAGGAGAGCTGGGAGGGAGACAGCTTTACTTTTTCTCCAGATCTCCATTAAAGCAAAAAGGAATTTCCAATGCTGTATCATTCATGATCCCTCTCCTCAGCCTGCTGAATTTGTCACATAAATGTCAAACATTTTTATTCAAGAATTCCACTGTAATTTAGTGTTTGTCAATAGGCCAAAAGGAAGCCCTGCTTTGTAAATTATGGATTTCAAATACTGAAGCCACTTGTTCTGATCTATAGATATTTGACATCTTTGTCAATTATTTTATTTCAGCTACCAGTAGTTTTTTGTTTTTTTTTTTTTCTTTCTGTAGGCTGGATGAAAAATTCACTGTCAAGGTTGCTGATTTCGGTCTTGCCAGGGATATGTATGACAAAGAATACTACAGCGTACACAACAAAACAGGTGCAAAACTGCCAGTGAAGTGGATGGCTTTAGAAAGTCTACAAACTCAGAAGTTCACCACCAAATCAGATGTGGTAATGTACTGATCATCCCTGACTTTTTTTCCTCTTTTACTTTCATACCCCACTTCTTTGTAGTTTTATGGCAATTTTTAAATTTTTTTTAAAAAACATAATTTTTATTAATTGTTTTACATATAAAGATAAATGAATTAATAAAAATTAATTAAAAAATTAAAGTTAACACCCATAGTATATTTTCATAAATTCACTTGCTTATCCAACATTTGTTGAATGGAGTATCAAGCTGGCTCCTTGGGAAGTGCCAAGTTGAATTAGGCATAAGCTTTGTCCTGCAGGAGCTTTGATCGACAGGGAAGAAAAGACATGGCCATCAATGACTGTAGCACAAAGTGGTCTGGGATTGCACTACCTTTCATAGTCCAAGGGCAGCAAGAATTCCACTTGGAGATATCTGGAAGCTGTAACTGAGGCAGATCCAGCAGGGAGGGCATGATCCTCATGCCTGATTAGAAAAGAGTCCTCCTTTATCGGTAAAAGCCATGATCCTCTCAGACAACACACTTCAAAAGGCATGCAGCTGAGCAGCTGAGGATGGGCAAGATGCTCACCTGGGGGACCAGCTCTCCTACATTCTTCGTATACCCCTGTGGAGGAGGCAGCACCTGAAATGGGCCCTGAGGGATAGCAGGCTTGGAACTGGACAGCTGGGTGAATGGAAATATCAATCCAGGTAAAGCAAAGGGGCAGGAAAGTATAAGAATGTTTAAGTTCTGAGAACAGAGGATTTAGTGGGTGATTTGGCAAGAATGGAAGGCGTAGAGGGAAGCTACAGTTTTAAAAAAATAGATTCATGATAGATCATAAAGGTCTTTACCAAACTGGAGTCTGAAATTTATTTTCTGGTCACATGGAAACAAACAAAAGTGATCAGGTTAGATTACAAAATCCATCTTCATTCTGTAAAATGACTAGAGAGGGATGGGGGCAGGACGATCAAGTGAGATGTAGATCTTGGAATAATAGAGAAACTGTGAGAACGGAAGGGAAGACGTGGAAGGAAAAAGATCTCTGAGGTAGAATTAACAGTATTTAGTAAGAACTGATAAAATTCAAAGATGAGCAAAGCTATAGGCTGGTGTATTAAGAAATATAAAGCACAAGAGCAAAAGCTAGATTTGGAGAAAAAAATAACAAGTTGAGCCTTGACCACATTCAGTTTGACTTGGGATTACTCCACCTAGGCAGACACATCCATTAGGCACTTGGAAACAAGGATCTGAGGCTTATAAAAAAGATTATATTATATTAATCAGCTCTCAGGCTGGCATAATTTTAAAAAAATAGATTGACTGACTTCAACAGTAGAAATTTATTTCTAACAATTCTGGAGGCCAGGAGTCCAAGACCAGGTTGTCCTCTTCCTGCTTTATAGATGACCACATTTTCACTATGTCCTCACATGGTTGAAAGAGAATGAGGGCAAACCCTCCAGTGTTTATTCTAATAAGGGCACTTATCCTACCATAAGGACCCCATCCTTATGACCTTATCTAAACCTAATTACTTTCAAACATCATCACATGCCAGAGGTCAAGCCTAGGAACATGCTCTTGAGAGTCCCAAAGTAATTATTCAAAGAACCTACATGTATGAAGTGAGGAAGAAAATAGAAAGGCGGAAGACCCTGGAGAAGAGACTACCATGAAAGTCAGAGAAAGAAAAAGTTCCAAGAAGAATCTGGGATGGTTAGTACATCCATTGCAGCTTACTGTGCCAGATGGGTCTTGGAAACTGAGCCACTTGAGTACTTAGAAGGTCCAGAATTTGCTGAGGAGCCTGGGAGTTGAAAGGAATGGAGAGTGTATACTTACTCTGCTGCACGTAACAGGTCAAGATAATTGTGATATCTGGAGGGAGAGAAAAATTTAACATTTCTGCCTGTAAGGGTAACAACTGAGAGAGAGAAAAAAGTGCAAACTCAGGATATCTGCTGACAACTTGGGCTGAAAATAATGTTCATTGAGGCTATGTACAAACAAGAAAGAGTTAGCAGCTATTGAGAGATGACGGGGGACAGGGATCGGAATGTAATATTGGGAATCCAGTCATTTTACTCTCATCCCTGAGTCAGCAAGAGGGAGAGGTGTGGCCTCTGTTGGTAGGTCAAAAAAACTGTGTTATCAAGTGAATACCAAGTTTCAGTTCCTGTAAAGAGGTGGAGGAAATACCAGAAAGAAAACTGAGGTGACTGGCTTTCTTTTTTCTCGAATAAATAAATGTGTCATTGGTCATGGTGGAAAAAATGGGACTGCTGGATGTGTAAGATTGAGAAAAGAAATGATAAACCATGTTGGAGCTTAATGCCTGGGGTTTTGACCCTGAAAGATTCTGAAAGAGATGATAGAAATGAGTCCTAGAGAGGGTGGCTGGGGACTTGTAATGGTAGCAAGTGAAGGCATAAGGTAGAAAGAAGTAATCCATCCTCAAAGAACAGACTGTTCATTCAGACTTGACTCCCAGTCTACCATTAAGAACTGAAGCCAACTCTTAAAACTCAATAAGAGATAAAATCCAGTTTTTTTAAAATAGGCACCAGATTTGAATAGACATTTTGTCAAAAGTTGTATAAATAGCTAGCTAACCCACATGAAAATGTATGCCATATGAAGACTTTTTTTTAGGCAAATGATCACAGTAGTTGTATTCATAAAAGTCAAAAAACAAGGGCAATCTTGAAGTTTATCATCTGGTGAATGGACAAACAAAAGGTAGTATGTCCATAGAATGGAGTGATGCCATTGAGCAATGTAACAGAACTGCTGATACATGCTATAACATGGATGAGGTAAACCTCACAAACATCATGTTAAGTAAAAGAAGGTAGACTCAAAAGATTAGATTTTGAATGACCCCATTTATACACAATTTCTGGAAAGAGGCAAAACTATAGAGAAAGAAAACAGATCAGTGTTTGCCTGGGCTAGGTATGGGCATGAGGATTGCCTACAAATGGACATGAATGAGGGAACTTTCTGGAATGTTGAAAATGATCTAAAACTAGATTACAATGATAGGTATAAACTATGTAAATTTAGTGGTCATCATTGACTATATACTTATAATTTGTATATCTTACAACCTATAAATCATACATCAGCAAAGCTGATTAAAAAGAGAGAGTCTAATTAAATTTTGCACGTTCAAGGCAGAAGTTAGAATTCTAAGCTTTTTTTTTTTTTTTTAAAGAGAGAGAGAGAAAGAATCTTTTTTTTTCTTTCATATGGTGCTGAGAATCAAACCCGGGTCCCACCCATGCTAGGGGAGCGCTCTACCACTGAGCCACAATCCCATCCCCTGAGCTTTTTGACAACAACACACAAACACCACTACCACTGCCTCCTCAACAAACACACAGCATGGAGACCAATGCTCCTCACATAGCAAGAGGCAATTTTTTTAAATTGCCTTATTTTTAAAAATTGGGCTATTTTGTCTTTTTATTAAGTTGTAAGAGTTGGCTCCAGTTTGTAAGAGCAGACAGGGAGTCAAGCCTGAGGTGCTTGACTGGAAATTTCTCTTCTGTAGATAAGACAGTGTTCTCTCCCTCTCCTTGAAAGACACGATACTGTATGACATAAAGGTGAAACCTGAGTAATCCACACACATTGCTGCTTTGGCAAGTGGTTACTGATTGCCTGGATAAATTTGCACAAAGACAGCACAGTCTTTTGAACCAACATTCATGGAACATTTCCAAAAGCATGTGTGCATGTTGAGACCTACAAGCAAAAACTTGCCTGCTTGTAGACAGATTCTCTTTCTAGCAAATGCCCAGATGGAGTTTGGCTAACTCAATAGTCTTGAGTCCATCCAAACAAATTCGTGTGTTACTACTCTTGAAATTACTCACACCCAGCATTGTGCAATGTTTCACACTCAGCAGAAGTTCTTTCATTAAAGTCTGTATTGACTTCTCCTTTTGTTCAGTCCAGCTGCTTCTTCTGAGCTCTCATCTTGACTCATCTTTCTGAAGCATTTAATGTTGTTGACCATCCCTTCCTTCTTGAAATTATCCTTTTCTTTGGTTTCTGGATACTGCACCATCTGGTTTTCCTCCTGCTACTTGGTTATGTTTTTTTCTTTAGCATTGACTGCTTCTTTTCTTTCTCTTATGCACTAGATGTAGCTAACCCCCAAGATTTTTGTCTTCAGGGATGGAACTCCCTCAACAATTGCCACCATTTCCATCAACAATCTCCTTTGACCCTCTCCATCTGGAGGCTCTTATCAGCTGGTATCATTTGATCACAAATTTGTCTTGTTCAAAATCAAATGCTTTCCCACCAAACTGGCAACTCCTCCCTTCCTGTCTTCTGTCCGTGTCAGTCCTCATTGTGCAACCTATCTATTGCTCACCATTTGTAGTGTAGAGTTCATCAAGTTTGGGCCAGTGCATCACCATCAGGATGTAGAGTTTCCATCATCCGAAAAATTTCCTTGTGCCCTTTTGTAGTCAACCTCTACCTTATCCCAAGGACCTGAAAATCATTGATTTATTTTCTATATCTATAGTTGGTATTTTTCTCTCTAGAATGTTATATAACTGAAATCATACCATCAGTAGTCTTGTGAGTCTGTTGCCTTTCATTTTATATAATGCATTTGAGAGAGATCCATGTTGCTAAATCAGTAGTATCAATATATCAAGTTCAACCTTCTTATTGAGATAAAAATGCATAAAATTTACCATCTGAATCCACTTGTAAGTGTATAGTGCAGTAATACTAATTATACTCACCTTGTCACGCAAAAGATCTATAGAACTTATTCTTCTCACAAAACTGAAACCCAGGATCTATTGAACAAAGACTCTCCTTTCTCCATTTCCCTTCAGTCTCTGACAATTACCATTCTATAATTTCTGTCTCTACAAGTTCAACTACCTTAGATATGTCATAAAAATGGAATTATTCAGTGTTTGTCTTTTTGTGACTGTCTTGTTTCCCTTAGCATAATGTACTCAAAACTTCTCCATACTATAGCATATAATTAGATCTCCTTTTTTATAAGGCTGAATAATATTCCATTGTATAGATAAACAACATTTTCTTTTTTTTTTCAATTTTTTATTGTTGGCTGTTCAAAACATTACATAGTTCTTGATATATCATATTTCACACTTTGATTCAAGTGGGTTATGAGCTCCCATTTTTACCCCATATACAGATTGCAGAATCACATCAGTTACACATCCATTGATTTACATATTGCCATACTAGTGTCTGTTGT